GCAATTATAAAAGGAATGATATGCATCTTTCTATCATACATTTTTTAAGGAAAAAAATCAACACCATAGACTCTTAGAGATTTTTTTTAATCATTTCAATTATTTGATGTATATGTACCAAATTTGGTTCATGCAAATTTTAGTTTTAATTTGTCAAATTTTGAATTATTTTTCTATGATTTTGTGAATATATATTGTATGCTGGCTGAATTTTGTTAGATTAATTTGATATATATCCTGAAATTGTGGTCTATCAGGTATAAATTATCAGGAATAAATTTTGGATTTTAAAATTTAAATATTTTTTTTAAATTGGAATTTTAGATAGCGATTCCCAGAACCGCTATCTAAACATACTAAAAGAGAATGGTTCTAGAACTAACCACTATTAAAAGTATATTTTAGATAGCAGTTGTCGTTTTAACCATTATTATATGTGTCATTTTTAAGAGTGGTTCATCATTCTAACCACTATTATAAATACAACTTTGCATAGCGGTTCCACATTAACCGCTATTATATCTTATTTATGATAGCGGTTAGTTAACCGCTATCCGAACGTCATTCTTTTATTAGCACCTCATTTAATAACATTTTTAACCATTATTATAGAGCATGCGGAATCGCTATTACATGTCTTTTCTGTTGTAGTGTTAGTATATGTCTTAAGTGAAACCATCTCTTAATCACGAGTACCTTAGTAGTACCTATTACTTGTATCATTGTTCAACACAATGAGACTCATTTTGATTGAAATCATTGTGCGAAAACTTTCAATACAAGGATCCATAATCTAAGATACATCACCTACTCCATATCGTACTTGATCAAGTCAATCATTGGATGAACTATCAGTTGTGATACCACTATTTGATATTTTCAATGGAGATAACTTTCCTTCATATTGATTTGGAGAAAGAAATTTACATGAAAAAACTCAGTGATTTTTTTTGTTAAAGGTAAGAAGACTATTTTATGTAGGTTGAGAAAAAGTCTATATATTGAAGCAAACTCCAAAACAATTGTACAAAAAGTTTAACTCCTTTGTAACTAAGGATATAAAAAAAACTACTTTTGTTCCTTGTATTTTTGTTAAAATGTTTTTTTATAATGACTTTTTTATTTTGTTATTATATTTTGATGACATTCTTATTACACTACAAGAAAATCATTAATTACCAACGGATAGTTACCAACGGATATGTAGTCATCGGAAAATGAGTGATTAATGACTGAAATTATCGACTGATTTAAAGTATTTGTGAAATTTGTTCTTACCGATGGATATATTCGTCAGTAAATGAACAATTAATTACCGACGTATATATCCGTTCGGTAAATTAACAATTCATCGGTAAATTAATAATTTGTCAATAAATATTTAAAATATATAAATATATTTGTATTTATATATTTATACGGATATATATTTATTTGTACATAAATATAATTTATTTATAAGTTATTATTAAAAAATCATAATAGCTTAGTAGTTGGAGTATCAACCTTCAATTCTAAGGTACTGAGTTCAAATCTAAATAATATAAATGGGAGGCAAATATAAATAAAAATGTGGGTTCAAATCTAAATAATATAAATGATGGATATCCGTCGATAATTATCTATTTATTGATGAATTTTGTCTGTCGAAAAATTCAATTTTTCTTGTAGTGTTATTAGAAAAGAATGTTTTTATGATTGATAAGTTAAAAAATAATTAGTATGAGTCAATTATCATAAAAAATATGGGAGTTGCTAAAAGATTCTTGGTATAAGTATCATGCATGATAAAAAAAAACAAGAATCTTTGGGTATAGTAGGAATGCTAAATTAAAGGTGTTATCTACATTCCATATGGAAAGTGTCAAAGTAGGGAATGTTTCTCTTACGCCTCATTTTAAATTAAATATTATATAAAGTTCTTCAAATGAAGATGAAAAGAAAAGGATGAACATAATTCTTTGTAGTGTTATTAGAAAAAATGTTTTCATGATTGATAAGTTAAAAAATAATTAGTATGAGTCAATTATCATAAAAAATATGGGAGTTGCTAAAAGATTCTTGGTATAAGTATGAGGCATGATAGAAAAGAGAAGAAGCTTTGGATATCACACAAGTGCTAAATTAAAGGTGTTATCTAGATTCCATATGGAAAGTGTGGAAGTAGGGAATGCTTCTCTTACGCCTCATTTTAAATTAAATATTATATAAAGTTTTTCAAATGAAGATGAAAAGAAAAGGATGAACATAATTCTTTATGCATCTGCAATGGATAATTTTATGTATGCAATAATATATGCAGGATCAAATATTATATATGTTATTAGTATAGTCAGTCAATTTTTGTCAAATTCAAGTAGAAATAATTAAAATGTATTTTGAGTTATCTTTGCAATACTAGTGATTCAAGTCTTTGTTTTAGAGGTGATAAGTTTATTATCATTATTGAAACATGCTAAAAGATGTTACTATTGAAACAATTCTTTTATGACTTTGACATTATTTGTGGATAGTTAAAGTGTTGTTCTTTTTTATAAGAATCCAGTTTTTCAAATAATATAAACTTATTAAACCTAATTTGTCTTATTTAACCTAAGTTGAGAGGAGTATTCTAGATTAACAAAGAGAATGTAAATTTTTGTAACTTTTTAGAAAGAGAAAAAGGTAGAAAATTTCTCATCTTCCCATATCAATTTTCAAAAAAATTGTGATATCCATTTTGTTCACAGTTAGAGATTCAAACTTTTATAGTAGGTTCTTAGCATACTATTCTTTGTTTTTATTGTTGGAATAGTGTATTAGAAGTAGGTGAATGGAAAAATTAATTTTGCACAATTTTCCCTTGTTATTGAGGTTTCTTTTTCTTTAATATTCAATTTAAAAACTTTTACACCTTGACTAGAGTCAAGATGAAGAGCAATTTCGTGTTCCAAGTAGAGTTAATGACATGTGTCTAGCGTTTAGAGAGAATGTGATTAATACTAGTTGAGAATCATACATTGCAACTACACAAAGTGCAGGAAGAAGAAAGAAGTATGGTGACAACACGATCAGATGAAGAAATACTACTTTTGTAGGTTTCAGTAGGATATTTAAGACTTTTGATTAACGAAATATATATTGTTTTAAATGAGTATTCACCAAAAGTCCCATGTTGATCACCAATATGAACAAGAGAAAGACATTGACAATATTAACAGGATTGTTAGGTCCATATATTAGTATTGAGAGTATCTATGTTACTTATTGGAACATAGTAGAAGTTAGTCTTATTTTGTAATGTTCGGGTTATCGAAATTGTGTTCATGAACATTTGTGAGCTAAATAGCATTGGACCCAACATGTTTTTGTTCTTTTTATCTTTTGTTTCCTTTTGCTATATATATGGGTTAAAGTATCCCTTTGTACTTCTATTAATTTTATTCCGGTAAAAAAAAAAACAAGAGAAAGATGAAAAATTATTTTAAATATAAGAAGTTGATATAAGTATTTTTGGTTGCAATTCTTAGATAAATTAAAGACTTGGATAATTATGTATCCAGAGTTTGCAATTTTATTTTTTAGGAGGATTTACAATTTTTATTTTTATTTTTATTTTAAATTATAGGAGGATTTCCAATTTTTCTTTATAAAAATATACACTAAAAAAATTTATAATTTTGTCTTTATAAAAATTATACTTAAAAAATTTACAATTTTTTTAGATATTACATCTAAGAGAATTTACAATTTTATTTTTGTGAAATTTACACTAAGAGTTTCTAATTTTTTTAGAAATAATAATATATTTTGTGGAATGTTTATGATTGTAGCCTTTGAAGTGTCCAATCCTTTGTGATTTTTTTAAATTTTTTTATTCTGCTAACATGACTACACTTTATATTTCTTGCAACAAAAGTGGGTAATTATCTTTAAAAAATAAGAACAAAAAATCATTTTACAAATATTATAAACTGATTTTAGAAAACAAACAATATTCTAACGTGTTTACCTCTTAATTTATGTGGACCTTAGGAAATGATATTCCACCGTGAAATACACGCTGAGGTCTTGCTGAAACAGTAGAAAGTCGGCACTGTAATGGCGCACTCCTGTCCACGGAAAAGCAAGCAACTTTTTATGGGACGTGAAGAAGAAGCAAAGTGAGACTCAGCAACATCCTCTTAATAATTTTTTCTTATTGAATGAAGAAATTATTGATCCCATAGCTATTGCTAAGGACACTATGACCTTAGATCTTACAGAAGTGTTTACATGCACATTTTTCAATATATTTTTTCAAATGTTATTGTTAATTAATATTAGCTTTATGTTCATTTAAAATTCGATTTTTTTACTAAATTTTAATCAATATAAAAAAAATGTGTTAGTATATTGTTTTTATAATATTTAAGATGTTTTAATCTTGAAGTTGCTACTATGGAGAGGGTTTAACCTAATCACTATTGTTAGTTGAGGGTTAATTTTACATCTTTACCTATACCTATGTTTGAATTAGTCAAAAGTGGTAACATGAAGGGCAAAAAAAAAAATTAAATTTCACATGTTACGTAATAATTTAGATTCATTAGTTAGGTTCACAATTAAATACATAAAGATAAACATAAAATTAATTACAGTAATAAAGTTACACGACAATATTAGCACATATCGTAACTTAGTTAAATCTCCAAGTCTTATTACAATAACCAAAGTAACCACGATTGAAATGTATACTTATCGAAACACTACATTCTAAACATCACAACTTGTGTCATCAGTCTCTTCATCGTCTTCACACCTAAACATTTCTTTAAGAAAAAAAAAATGGTTAGATAAAAATTGCATTTCACATCCATAACTCTGAGGATTCTCTTTTCAAATGCATGACAGATAAACCCATTGAAGAATTAGATGAATGATAGAGGCACGTAGTGAGAGAAATGAATAAATTAATACAAATAAAATAATTGTAAATACTGTGCCTTTAATTACCTCGTTTCACAGATGGTTTTCCATTTTTATATTCTGGAAAAAGAATCCTCAGAGTGTGGTCGAGGAACATTTTCCGATCTTCCCTCCACCGGAGCTTTTTCATCCTCTGGATATTCTTCCCAGTATGCATATCTAACGGAGTAGTATCCGAAACCCAAAAGGAAAATGCCGTTCAAAATCGCCAACATCAGATACAGTTTATCCAAACGGCTATCTTCCACAGTGGTCTTGACCCAGCTACTGAAGATAAATGGTATAATCAGAAGTTGCCCAACACCAGACACCAATTCAATAAACGAATCCCTATAACCCCACATTGACATCGCTACGTGAGCTTCGAACAAACTCTCTAACCCACCTTCAACAAGCCCCACCGACGTTCCCAGCAACGCAAACTGCGGAACCACCGCCGTTGTCGAGTTTCTATCACCCTGTCGTGGCTGCCCATTTATAAACGACAACCTCCGACCCTCAGCATGCCATGCTACCACACCGCAAATTACCGCACAAGACATGCCAAAACCAATCCTTATAATATATCCCGCTTTTCTCATCAACCTACCACCACCACCACTTTCCATACCTTCAAACTTCCAGAAGCATCCAAATGCAACACGGATAATAAAGCAGATGAATCGTGATGATATCTCCGCGGCGTCTCTGATCAAAAGGAGAATCCAGATATCGTTGTTGTTGTTGTGGGTATCAAAAACATTCTCTAATACTTACTCGATTGTGCAATAAAGAAAGTGTTCCCACAAGCCAAAAGTAAACTGTAAGCAAAGAAGGCAATGCAGAGGTAAATCATAGGCACAAGGCTCTTCACTTCCCTCACCTCCTTCACGGTGCAAAGGTTTCCTTTCTTTTCTTGCATCTCAGCACTCAATTCTTCAGGATCTTCTGCTTTGACTATAGCTGCTTTGTCCAACCACCTGAACTGCCTTGGAACTCGCGGCAATAACCTTACTCCTTCACCATGCTTATACAAATGGTCCTGCTTGTAATCCTTCCAGTAATAACAATCTCCTGATGCTGGGAATTCTGATTTTCGTTTACGTAAACCAGCTTTGCAGATTCTTTGAATCTTTCGTAGATTGCTCTCTGCGGGTAGTTTTTCGCGTCTGTACCACAAACAGCCGAAGATGAACAACAGAAACGTCCCTCCCATGAGAAGTGCAGTGAATCTGAAGCTTTCCACGTCGGTTTTAAAGGTACGGGCACTATAAACTGTTATCAGATATACGACTATGGATGGAGCATACAACCAGATATTGGTACGAATTGTATTACCCGTGTGGTGGTCCGGTTTTTTGGATTTGATTTTCTCTTGCAACTGACATTGGAGAAAATATTCTGCAAGCTTTTCACCACTATTCCCTAAAGCAAAGCAGAATATGGCTCCATAGATTGCACGCTCTGCCTTCCTTGATGATGCAGACATCCATAGTAGCATTAAACCCTGCAATTACAATGGTTTTTGGTATAATTAGCTATAATTACTTTACTATATTATTAATTAGTTCATTCGATTTTTTCTCTTTATTTCGTAATTTAAAAAATGTAACTATCTTAGAAAAAAAAATTAAGAAATTTTAAGAATCAGAGACAGACTATTTAGTATGTGTTATCATGTTCTTATACTCAAACTTATTTATACAGTTAATGAATTATTTCATTTCTACTCCCCTCTAAGTGAATTGTGCATATTAAGGTTTCACTAAATCAACTTCGTGAGGGGATTCTTAAGTGGTTAATACGTTGTGATAATTTAATATTAGACATCTTCTATTAATATATATCTATTAAATACTTTTTTTTACATCATAATATAAATTTATCATTTTTCTTTTTTATCTTTTCCCTCTATAGATACAGATTAGTATCTTGAATGTTTTTAAATCTTTTTCCTTATTTAAAAAAAATATAGATAACAACCCTTATAAAACAAACAATTAAACAATAACTATTTTTATTAATTTTATAATAATAAAAGTTTATATTTTTATGTTTATTATTATTTTATTAATAAAATGAATTGTTATTTGGATGTTTAAAATGAACAATAATGTCAAAATATCACTTCCCTATTTAAAATATCTTATTAATCAACCGAATAACATATAGCTAAAAAGGACATATTTAAATTCTATGATTGAAAATATATTTAATAATTCATAAAGCATAAATATATATCAATAAATAAATAAATTATTTTTTAATAACTCCTGTTGTACATATAATCATTTAACAACTTTTTTTATTAATATAATATTAATAAAATTTTAAATTTATATATTTATTAGTATCATTTTTTTATATGAGAATTGTAGGATGGATTTACATGAATTTTGAGATGTCACGATATCATTGTCCCTTAAGTTTTTATATTTATGTTAAAACTGTTATGATTTAAATAACTTTTTTTTATAAAATAGGGTTATTTTGATATTTTAGTTTTATTATTTGTTTAGTTGCTTTTGTAGACGATGATTATACATATAATTATTTTGATTTAGTTTTATTTTTTGTCTCTATTATTAGTTCATGAAGTAGATGATGATATTATTATTATTATTATTATTATTATTATTATTATATATATATATATATATATATATATATATATATCACATCATAAAACATCAATTTGGTAATGATGATATTATATATAATTGATAAACATAGAATATACGATTACAAATACCGTATCATGCCATGATTCTACATGATTAATTTTTTCCATATTTAGCTTGGCATGACAATGATGCACGATGATGCACATTAATGTCATATCTGTTAATAGACAAATTTAGGATACCGACTATAATGGTGAGCGTAATTATAGCCTAGAATGTTTCTGTATTTCATGTATATATTGTGTTATCATATTCAATACAAGATAGGGGTTTTTGGAAATATTTTTATCATGGTATCAGAGCGAGCCAAACTCTGATATCCAACAGCCCGAGAACACAGTCGTACTTCTAAAATGGCAGAGAGAGGAGAGACGGTGAAGAAAACACCATCGCCATACGATCCGAGTGCCGATGATAATCCTGGAAATGTGATTACACAGGTACAATTACGAGGAGAGAATTACGAGGAATGGGCAAGGGCCGTGAAGATATCTCTCGCGGCTCGAAGGAAATGGGGTTTCATAGATGGAACTCATAAGGAACCTGAAGAAGACACATCCGAGATAGAAGATTGGTGGACAATTCAATCGATGCTTGTATCTTGGATACTAAACACTATAGAACCTAGTTTGCGTTCCACTGTTGCATACATGGAAAACACAAAGGACCTATGGGATGACATCAAGGAACGATTCTCGATCGTGAACGGACCAAGAATCCAGCAGCTAAAGTCAGAGTTGGCAGAATGCAAACAACAAGGAATGACTATGGTTTCCTATTATGGGAAGTTGAAAACGTTGTGGGATGAACTGGCAAATTATGAGCAAATCCCACAGTGTAGATGTGGGGGATGCAAGTGTAATATTATGACGCAACTTGAGAAACGAAGAGAAGAAGAAAAAATTCATCAGTTCTTGATGGGGCTAGATGATGAGGGCTATGGAACTGCACGGTCAAATGTTTTGGCAACAGATCCATTACCCTCGTTGAATCAGGTGTATGGCACCATGGTGCAAGAAGAAAGGGTGAGAACAATCACCAGGTCTAAAGAAGAGCGAGGAATGATCGTGGGAATGGCTATGCGAGCGGAAACCAGGAACAAGTTGCGCAATGAAGCGAAAGAAAAATCAGTTATTTGCATGCAGTGTGGAAGGAAGGGACATGACAAAGGCAATTGCTTCAAGATCATTGGTTACCCATAATGGTGGGGAGAGAGACCACGAACCGATAAAAACGATGAAAAAAATCAACAAAGAACAGGAACCTTCCGAGGAAAAGGAGGAACGGCTCGCGTCAATATGGCGCACACCGGTGCGGATAACGTTGGTTCAACCGAAAAACCGAAGTCGCAGGATCGAGTAATGAGCAATGGAAGATCTTGACAAGCAATGTTGAATTCTCGCAAGGCAAATGAAACCGAAAAGATGAATGGTAAGAAAGCATGTGACTTGTGGATTATTGATAGTGGCGCCTCTAATCATATGACAGGAACACTAGAAAACTTGAGGGAGAGTCGAGCCTTGGAAGGGTGCCCGGTGGGACTACCAAATGGTGAATTGGTGCTGGCAAACAAAGAAGGATCGGTTTTCCTTGATGGAGGACTCGAAACTTAAACATGTTCTATATGTTCCGAAATTGAATTGCAATTTGATTTCGGTATCACAATTGATGAATGAAGTAAAATGTACAGTACATTTTACTGATAGATTTTGTGCAATGCAGGACCACACTTCGAGGATGCTGATTGGAGCGGGTGAACGAAAAGAGGGACTCTATTGGTATCGTGGTGTGAGTGGCATAAAGGCGTATCAGACCAATGCAGAAAATCAACTAGAGATTTGGCACAAGCGAATGGGACATCCTGCCTACCAGATTGTTAGAAAAATTCCGCATCTAAACAACGTGAATAGAAATACGGATACAACTCGTGTGTGTGAAATGTGTGAGAGATCAAAGCAATGCAGAAACACATTTCCTTTAAGTGATTTTCAAGCATCCAATATATTTGATTTAATACATTGTGATGTATGGGGTCCATATAAAACTCCCTCGTCTTGTGGTGCATCTTACTTTCTCACTTTGGTTGATGACTGTTCTCGAGCTGTGTGGATATATCTCTTGAATAATAAGAAAGATGTGTCACAAACCTTAATGCATTTCATCGCCTTAATAGAACGACAATACGAGAAACAAGTCAAAATATTACGAAGTGACAATGGAACTGAGTTTATGTGTCTTCAACGATATTTTCAGCAACATGGGATACTCCATCAAACCTCATGCACTGGAACACCTCAGCAAAATGGGAGAGCCGAACGAAAACATCGACACATCCTAAATGTAGCTCATGCTCTACGATTTCAGGGAGAACTTCCACTTCAATTCTGGGGAGAATGCATTTTGACCGCAGGATACTTGATCAATCGTACACCCTCAACCGTTCTCCATGGAAAAACTCCATATGAAATATTGAATGGGAAGCCACCCACTTATGACCATCTACGGGTATTTGGATGCTTGTGTTATGCACATAACCAAGATAGGAAATGTGACAAATTTGCAAGTAGAAGTCGCAAGAATGTATTTGTTGGATATTCAATCGAAAAAAGGGTTGGAAATTGTTTGATCTCGGAAAGAGAAGTCTTCTGGACTTCGAGAGATGTTAAGTTTGTAGAACATGAATTCCCGTTTGCCTCTCTTGCCCACAGTAGACATTCGGAGGTAGGATTGCCTACCGTTGATGTTGGCATTGTCGAGGAAGCATTGCCTGGACTTGGTGCAATGAACAATGCGGAACACGTTGTGGAGACCGATGACGTTAACCCCACAACGGAAGATGTGCCCACAACCGAGTTCGGGGAGGGCCACGCCGAATGCCATGAACAAGAGCCTCCCACCCGAGATCGTTCTCCCACCGGAACAAACCGACTCTATGATGACAGAACTAGAGGTTCCCGAGGAGCATACTGTCCCTGCATCCCCGGGGAAAGGTCTTCGTGTACGAAAGCCATCTCGTGAAGCTTCGTGATTATGTCACTAACACCACTTTACAACTCGGTCCCTCAATTCGCACTCCACATTCGAGCTTCCTCGGGTATGCCTTACGGTTTGACAAAGTACTTAAATTGTGCTAAATTCTCCGTCCCCCACCGAACCTTTCTTGCAGCCCTTCATGCGTAGAGAGAACTCTGTGCATTTCTTTGAAGTCGTTCGGGATGTTAGATGGAGAGATGCCATGGCTAGTGAAATTCGAGCCCTCCAAAGTAATGAAACATGGGACATTACTCCTCTACCGGCAGGGAAGAAGCCTCTGGGTTGCAAGTGGATTTATAAAATCAAATATCATTCTGATGGGAGCGTTGAACGCTTCAAAGCCCGATTAGTTGTCTTGGGAAATCACCAAGTTGAGGGGATTGACTATGACGAGACTTTTGCCCCAGTGGCAAAGATGGTCACCATTCGGACAGTGTTGGCAGTGGCAGTAGCCAAAGACTGGGAACTTCATCAAATGGATGTCCATAATGCTTTTCTGCACGGCGATCTTGAGGAAGATGTGTATATGACTCTCTACTGTGACAACCAAGCTGCCCTTCACATTGCCAAGAATCCTGTGTTTCATGAACGGACAAAACATATTGAAGTGGATTGTCATCTTATTCGTGATGAAATACAACACAATCATATCCAACCCTCCTATGTGTCCACTCATCATCAACTGGCTGATCTCTTCACCAAATCTCTTGGCGCCACTAAATTTGGTTCTTTTTTAGGCAAGTTGGGCATTCACAACCTTCATACTCCATCTTGAGGGAGGGTGATAAACATAGAATATACGATTACAAATACTGTATCATGCCATGATTCTACATGATTAATTTTTTCCATATTTAGCTTGGCATGACAGCGATGCACAGTGATGCACATTAATGTCATATCTGTTAATAGACAAATTTAGGATACCGACTATAATGGTGAGCGTAATTATAGCCTAGAATGTTTACGTATTTCATGTATATATTGTGCTATCATATTCAATACAAGATAGGGGTTTTTGGAAATATTTTTATCAATAATATAACATATTTATAAGAACTAAATGAAAAGAATAGCATACTTACAAAGAAGTAAAAGAAAAGAAAGAAAAAATAAACTCTTTACAGTGAACAAAAATATTATTTCCTTTTTTAAATATATGTAAATATATTTTATTATTATATTTTAGGTAAAAATATATTTAGTTTATAATTAGTTTTTAAATATATATATATATATATATATATATATATGATATTATTAAATACCTAATTAATTTTCTAAAATTACGATTTATACATTATATTTATTTTAAATCAGAAATAAAAAAATTCTTTTAACTAGGAATATAATGAAAAGATCACATTCTTAAATAGAATAACAATTAAAGATAATAATTTTATAGGATTAAATTAATATAAATCATAAGTAAAATGGAAAATATTGTTTGACACCAATTAATTTTCTTATAATAATTATCTAATATATAGGTTTTGTTTGTTGCTTAGATTTCTCCTAGATTTTTTTTTTTTTGTACAATTATATATATTATATTAATTATGTATAATTAGTTAATGTAATAATGAAATAGTTTATATTAATTTACATTTATAATAATACTCATAGTCTTATATTAATTAGGAGTTGAGATTAAGAATCGTTTACAATTTTTTTTCTCAATATATTTTTGGAATAAAACTATAACGAAAAATTATGATGAATTGGATGTTCAAAATGAACAATACTTTCGTACATATAGTAATTAATCTAAACACTTATCGAAATAGACATGAGAATAACTATTCTGCCTCCGTCTAGAAACATCCACACTAAATGTGGAACTGAAGATGAACTACAACAGTAAATTGACTATGATACAATCATATACATTAATTGTTTGTGAATATAATAATTTACCTGAATAGAAGCTGCTGCGGAGAATATAATCATATTGAAACAACCCGTGTATGTTTGTGAGACTAGAGAAACGATAACGAAAACCATAGATGAGAAACCATCATACACATTTATAACAACAGCTGCTCTCCGTTGATCAAGATCAATGCTGTCCCTTGATGTCATCAGGTAATGCATCAATGAACGCCCCACCGTGATTTCCATGTACTTGTAGCTTACAAACAAACCTGAAAACAATTAACAATATCTTTTTTATTTAATTTTATCTTTTACTTTTTCTAAACCGTATTTTTAAATTCAAAATATAAACTAACAATTAAAATTTAAAAACTGCTTTAAATGAAAAATAATCACACACGCTAAAGAGTTCTAGTAGAAGTTATTTGATACAATTATTAGTAAAAATATACGTTAAAAAACAAAACATATTTTATAATTTTGAGTTTTAAGTTTTTAAAAATTTAAAAAAAATTAAAAAACAACTTGAAACAGTATAGAACAGTATTGTACCTCCAATGATAGGCAGGGTCTTAGAGGTGACGAATAGATAACGAAGTTGAGACATTATTGACTTCAGCAACTTCATCTTCGCAGATGAAGTGTTTATTTCTGAACTGTGTTTGCAGAATGTGATGATGAAGTGTGATAGGAATAGAACATCAATGGTGGTATTGGTATATATAATAGCTTCAAAGTTGAACTTTTCCGTGATTCACAAATTCAACTTCTCTCCTCTCTTGCCATTGTTCGTGAACCAGCCTTTCAATTGGTATATTAATGTTTGTTCACAGTAACTTGCGTTTAGAGAGAACAAATTAATAAGATTATATTGAATTTTTTATTCTACCATTTCAGCACATGTTATATACATATATGAATCAAACCCTAACTCCTAACTCCTAACTCCTAAGTCTGTTAAGTTCTTGCTTAGTAAACAAATTTGAATAGCCAGTTATAATCCAATGTGAACAGTGCATTGACTTTGCTGCAATCATTAACATGCATACCCCATTTGCAATCTTTATGTAATTAATCGAATTCCACGTCTTGAAGATATTAGAACCATCATGCATGTATGTAAGAATGTCAAACCAGAGATATAAAGGAATTTCGAGCATGATATATGAAATCTCAGAAATGGAAAAAGAAGAATGAAAATTAAATACGAATAAATTGAGACTTCCTAGCTAGTGGGGAGATGCGACCAATGTGAAGACAATCTTGTTTACATCCATAACGGGCAAGTTGTGTTTCTTAAAAAACACAAATTGTCTTTCTTATGTCCGACTTACCCTAAACCATAAATGTCACCAGTGTTACTTAATATATACTATTTGCATATGTTAATTATAATTTTTTTTCATTAAAAATAATTTGCACAAAAGAAATGGGACTTGTTAAAATTATTTGGTACTCTTGACTCTGTCCACTATTCATACTAAATTCACAATATTTTTGCCAACTACGTTAGATCAAATTACAATAAAATAAAAACCATGTAGAAGAAGTAGAAAAGTCAAAGGAAGTATCGTACTAAGTAGAGACTTAAATAACTTTTTGAAATAAATATTGAGTCTTTTTGGTTTTGACTGTTTTGTTCTTACTTTCGGGTCATCATCGTTGTTAGATCGTGCAGTTAAATATTATGATGTTAAGAAAGTTCCACACAATCATTCTTAGGTTGGGCTGAGATTCACAACCATCTTGAGACTGGTTCAGAGAACAATAATAAATATGACTATTTTATATAAAAAACTTTAAAATATAAATATATATATATATATATATATATATATATATATATATATTAAATAAAAAATAAACAAGTAATTTCATTTCATAAAAAAATTGCTCAATTGCTTTAAAGTATATCAATATTTTTATTCAGTCTTTTTTATATTATGATCTATTATTCAATTATATTTTTTAAAAAATAAACATGTTTGATGACTAAATAGATTAAGATTAAACATAATTTTCTTTAGTTTTGCTTGCAAAAAAGACAAGGTTCGACTTTGGTATTTTATCATGTTTGAATATATTAATAAAAAATTTGTCACATGTTTTACAAAATGTTTCAAAATATTACTACTAAAAATTCTCATTTTTCATGGGAATATTTTTGCAAAATTTTGGTAAAAATTGCAAGAAATAAGTTTTCTATAAATTTAAACAATTTTTTGCAAGAAAATTGGCAGAAAAAAACTAGTTTTCTAGTAGTGTATATTCATGTCTGTAATAAATTTAATTTTATGTTTTGTTCCCTAAAAAAACTGTTATCGCTTATTGATAATATATAATTTCATGTTGAAGTTTACATATATTTCTTCTTTTATTAATAAATAAATTTTATTTTTATAAGATTTTATTTGTGTTTTTTATGATGTTAAAAAACATAAATGCTTTAAATTTATTATTGTAGATCTACACGTTGATACTTCACATATGCTACGATAAAATTTCAATAAATACTCTTAATTGATATTTTATAATCATATATTAAAATCGTAACAAAATATAACGATAATTTAATATATTTAAAAAAAACATTGAATCATATAAAAAATTATTTTATGACTATAAAAAATAACGTTGTATCTAGATTGATAGTTTTACAAATTTTAGAAAATTCAATTAAGCAAATTTTAATTGAAGAAATTTAGTTAAGATTCATTAAAAAAAAATAGTAGTGTAATATATCAAATTAAGTTTAATTAGCAAAAATATCTTATATTAAGGACCTTTTTTTCATATTTTTAGTCTTATATAATTTAAAATAAATGGTAGTTGGAGCAAATGATAATGTTGGAGGCTAATACTCCAACCACTAAACTAGTAGGATTTTCCGATAATAACTTATAAATAAATTATATTTATATACAAATAAATGCATATGTGTGTAAGTATATAAATATAAAATATATAAATATAGAATATATAAATACAAATATATTTATATATTTTAATATATTTATATAGTTATATATTTATATGTTGGATGTGAGAGCGTGCTCGAGGGTGAAAGTGTGTGTTGAGTGAATCTTTAAAATTTGATACCAAATTTAATCTAATTAATAGAACAATTTTTTCTTTACATAGATGATTATAAATTAATCAAAATTATCTTTTAATAATTATTTTTTCAAGACATAGATTAATTTATAATAATTTATTAAATAAAATAATTTAAAAAATAAATATTTAATTATTTTTAATATTTGAAAAAATTATTTTAATATAAGAATTTCAATTAAATAATAGAAGAAAAAAGATAAAAAGAATAAAATAAAAATAAATAAAGAAAAAAATTATTTTATATCATTATATAAATAAATTATAAAGATTATATTCTATTATTAAATTACAAACTCATATAAAGAGACTCGCTTATAAATTTGACATCAAATTTTGAAAACCCACTCGACATACACTTTCACCCTCGAACGCATTCTTACATCCAACATATAAATGTGTAAATATATAAATATATAATTATATCAAAATATATAAATATAAAAATATATTTATAAATATATAATTATATCAAAATATATAAATATCAAAATATATATTTATAAAAATATCTCGAGGTATGAATGACAAATAAACTAGTATCCGTGGGGACCGACCCATCCCGTTTCGAGTTTGACGAGAAAAATCCGAATTGAGAGTGGGTTCGAGATTTTCCCGCTTTAAAAAGTTGGGGACGGGGCGGGGATGAGTAATACAATCTTAATCCCGACCCAGTCCCAGCGCCCGACTTTATATTTAAATTTAAATTTTAAAATATTAATATTTTAAAAGTATTTCATTTTCTTTTTCTATTATATATAAAGTCATTTTTTTTATATTTCACCATTTTTACTTTTCTTCTATCTACTTTTTATTTTTTTGTCTTTTTGAATCTTTTATATCAATTAGTTTATTACATTATTCTCTCTTACCTTTCAATTTTTCACATTTCCTTAATCTCTCCAATCAATTTTTTTTTCAATCTTTTCAACCAATTTGATGAACACAAAGTTAATTCTTTTTTATCTTTTTTTAAATATTTTACATAAATCTTAGTAATAACTAATATTATTTTATTTATAATTTACATTTATTAAGTTTTTTTATGTCATATTTTTTATCTTATCACTATTATTTGTCATATCAAATTTTATTTTAATAAAATAATTATATTTTAAAGGATTAAAAAGAATGATAATTTAAACTTTTATTATTTTGAACTAATTAAATAAGAATTAATTTATTAAATATTTCCTTATAAATTATATATTTCATATTTTTAAATGACAACTTAAAAATGAATTAAATCGAATATTCGAATACAATAATAATAATATAATAATAATAATAATAATAATAATAATGTTGTAAATATTCAAATATTTGAATAATAGTGGTATAATAATAATAATATTATAAATATTATATATATATATATATATATATATAAAATGATTAAATATTTCTTTTATATACATATTTTATATAAATATAATAAATTAAAATATATATTTAATTAATAATAATTATAAATTGTAAAACTATAAATATTTATTTTTATATAAAAAATATATAATAAAATTAATTTTTTATAAATATAATTATCTTTTTAAAAATAATATAGATCGGAGACATGACGAGGTGAAACGGGAAAAACTCGAAATTCGACGGGGACGTGGATGGTTAAAAAAGTTGAGAACGGGGATCGGAGAGGTAAAATCCGCCCCCGCCTCGTTGTCATGCTTGGAGAAGTTGAGGATAAATAGTAATTAAAGGAAATTGTAAAGAAAAAAAAGAAAGAATTTAATATAACTGGTTGGTTGAAAGGACTAAAGATACATGTGGTGAATAATTATGAAGTACTTAAAAGAATAAGAGATTATCAAGAAAAGGATAGAAGAATATATTGAAAGATAAAATGTAATAGGTGTGATGAATCTAAATATCGAGAGATTGAAGAAGTATAAGACACCCAAACTGGTGGTGTAAAATGATAAATGAGAGATATTAAGAGCAAACAATGTAGTTAAAGAGATATACAGAGAGACAGTTAGTACCCCATTATGATATATGCACACTAATAAGAGGGACATGACCATAATTTAGGTTGAAAAAAGAAAGGTCAGTCATAGTAAAATATCAGTTTGTGTATTTTTATTTTATTTGACTGTATGTTACTTTAGTTGTAATTTTCTTTTATTATTTTGTTGGGATAGTTTTATTTCAACGGTTACATTTAAGGAAAATTTTTAATAGAGTTTTTTTAATTTGGATCATCACTATCATTTATTTTCTTTACCAATTTATATTTTATCCTTGGTAATGATTAGATTTATCTTTTTATCATTTATTTTTTTCACACATCTACCTTTCAACAATTTATTTTTATTATTATTTATTATTCTTATAATTTACTTTAAATGTTTTAAATGATATTAGAAATAAAAATTGTATGTGACCAATATTTAGTTGAAATATATTATATTTGAAATATATTATGTTTTAATTATCTATTGGTATAAAATGAATCCTTATAGTATTTAAATGATCTATAGCCTAATTAGATAATAATTTTATTAATTTGAACAGCAAATTATTTACCTTAGAAATATGCAAACATTTCATGTGCTTTTTTACTTTTGCTATCAACTACAAATCTAAATAAAATTACTGTGATCCGATATTATGGTTTTTATTACTATAAAATGATTAAGTATTCTTTTAAAAATTATTAAATTTTCTTACATAGAATTGGTTAAACTCTTTATAATAAAAATATACTCATTATTTTAAAGTTATCTTAAATGTATCAATTATACAATCTTATGATTAAAAATTTAATACAAAGTTATTATATTTTTAATAAATTATAAATAAAATACAATAAACTTTATATATAATTATAACGTGAAGAAATATAATCACAATACTATAGTCTTACTTCCCCATCTAATAAAAAAAAAAAGTAAAAACTTACATCACAATCATCATATATCCTAACTTATTTAAATCTCCAAAATTCTCATTACAATAACCAAACTAACCACGATTCAAATGCATACTCATGAATACATTACATTCTAAACATCACAATATGTGTCATCCTCAATCTCTTCATTCTCTTCTTTATCTTCACAAGGTTGTTCACGTAACCTAAACACTTCTACGTGTATATCACGATATATCCCACTTTTCTCACCAACCTACGACCACCGTTTCTCATAAACACCCCCAAGCATCTAAATGCAACACGGATAATAAAGCAGATGAACCGTGATAACATGTTTGCGGCGTCCGCGAACACAATGAGAATCCAGATGTCGTTGTTGTTGCTTGTAAGAACATTCGTTAACGTACTCGCTTGTGCAATAAAAAAAGTGTTCCCACAAGCCAAAAGTAAACTGTAAGCAAAGAAGGCAATGCAGAGGTAAATCATAGGCACAAGGCTCTTCACTTCCCTCACTTCTTTTCTTGTGTCTCAGCACTCACTTCTTCATCAGTACCTTCTGCTCTGCCTATCGCTGCTTTGTCCAACCACCTGAACAGACTTGGAACTCGTGGCGATAACCTTACTCCTTCTCCATGCTTATAAAAATGGCCCTGCTTGTAACCCTTCCAGTAATAACAATCTCCTGAGGCTGGGAATTCTGATTTTCGTTTGCGTAAACCTGCTTTGAAGATTCTTTGAATCTTTCTTAGATTGATTGCTCTCTGCGGGTAGCTTTTCGCGCCTGTACCACACACAGCCGAAGATGAACAACAGAATGTTGGACAATCCTTACATGATCAGGTGGTTATCCCATGTTCTATTCATGACTCCGTGATTATCCCACAATATGTGCAAAGTGTTTCATTCTCAAAAACTCATTATCGAACAGTTTCACGGATCTATTGTTTGGCGGTTTTGAAATCTGCGATGGTCAATGTTCTATAAATAAATACCGTATATGTTTTATGCTTCATGGTCACTGAATTTGGTCTCTTACAGTACCATTAGGGAGTTAAGGTTAGAAATCTAATAAGTGATTAGGGAGTTAAGGTTTGAAATCTAAGAAGTGATTCAGAAAAATTGTTCCAGAAGTTTAGTAAATATTTGTACGTTTCCGCTTTATTAAGCTTGCCTCATAGGTTATTCCATAATTAATGGACATGGCAGAATAACTTGTTATCAGATACTCAATCAATAAAATAAAGAGACCTTATAAAAAAAAGTAAAATAAATTTATTCCATTTCATAAAAGTATAATTGTTTCAATTTTTGTTCGATCTTATTAATTTGTTTCATTAAGTAGATGCTGATGATGATATCTTGGAACATTACAATAGAAGGTCATAAGAAAAGTCAACTGAGCAAGGATGACATCATATAAAAAAATATTACATTAGCAAATGATATCATTAAAGAATTGCATAAAAAAGGTATCTTCTTTATTACCACTGGGAACAAAAAGCTTATGACATTGAGACGTAGGTTTAAAATCTTTGGGCCTCAAAAACTAATTTTTGAAGACAAGCCTGAACCCAACATCGATACTAACCATCTACTTCACTTATATTTGTACCTTTGCCACCATCTGCTTCATAAATACTTCTCCTACCCAACAAACTCAATCTGAAGAACCACCACTTCGACCTTAGCAAGTTGTCCTCCTTAAACTACGCCACCCTCTAAACCCTTTATGAATATCACCACAAAAAGCTCTTATCATCATGACATCATCTCAAATTGACCAATCTACTTAAGTCAACCAAACAACCCTATCACTAAATATACAACAATGGTGTCCCACCTTCAAAACCTTTATTCATGTCACAAAAGAGGGAGAAAGATAATGTCTTTTAGTTCTTTATATAAGAAGTTTTGTCATCTTAGTTATTGCATTTCCATATTCATGGTTGTCATCAAACTGGAAAATAATTTTAACATATTTATTATCATGAAAAAAAAAGATAGTTATGTTTTGATTATAAGATTAAATGTTGGAGTTAAAAGTAAATATAATGTCTTATAAAATATCAAATTATCTTATAATAGTAATAAGGCTAATTAAATTAATATAACCTTTTATATATGAAAAGCATACCATCTAACCACCAGTTAAGGAACTAAGATATTAAAAGATGTTCACATGTATTTTTATTCTTGAACAAAAACCAAAGTTCAAACATAAAAACAATTGTGAACAAGATGATCAGCATGAATGAAAATCATAAGCACGCACAAAATTTACTCCACATATTGAATGAGAACCAAATGGAGGAACTATGAACGTGAAACCAGATACAAGAATAAAATATTCAAATTTAATCACAAAAAGATTGAGAAAAATAGAAGAATAATATTGGATCAATAACATTTGTACTTTTGTTTATTATTATTGATTCTATAAATAATTATTAGAATATCTACAAATAATTACTATTCATAACTATAAATATTCTATTACTTAATTTGTGTAATTTATTTTAGAAATATATATATATATATATATATATATATATATATATACGTGTAATTCAGGAAAACAAATTAATTTATTATTTGTTAGACTTATTATTAGAAAAATAAATATATATAGTCTAGAAGATAAAATAATTTTTTTATTTTTGTCACAATCTTCTTACATTTGAAAGTGACGGTGATTATGATAAATGATGAAATTTTTTGGAAGTGGGACGACATAATCTTTCACAGTTTTATAATTATAATTACATGTATATTTTACTACAACAAATATTGGAATTACCGACAGATAAAATCCGTCAATAACAACAAAAATCCGTCGGTAAATAGATATTATCAACGGATAAAATTTCGTCAGAAATTGTGTTATCGGTAAATATTACCGACGCATTTAAATAATCCGTCGGTAATTATTGATGGACAAATCTGTCGAAAAATGTTGTAGGTAATTACCGACGGATATATTCGTTGGAAACTGATGTAGGTAATTACCGACGGATATATCCGTCGGAAACTGCTGTAGGTAATTACCAACGGATATATCCGTCGAAAAATGTTATACGTAATTACCGACGGATATATCCGTCGGAAAATATTGTATGTCATTACAGACGGATATATCCGATCGAAAAATGTTGTAGGTCATTAGCGACGGATATATCCGTTGAAAAGTGTACTAAGTAATTACTGACGGATATATCCGTCGGTAATATCCAAATTTCTTCCTAAATCATTTCAATTTTTTAATAAACCATTTTTCCTGCATAATATCACACATTTTATATCAAGAACGCTACACCAAATCCAGTTTATTTCAGATCAAATTGAACTTAAATATAAGACAAATAACCTCAATTGAAATTAAACATAGTAAAAATAATCTCAATTCAAACAAATGACATATAATTCAAACTATTTATAATTAAACTTAATGTGTAAGAGTAACTATGGTTAGAAAGTAGAATAATGTCAAATACAATATTATCTGACAAAATATCTAATAATGAGAATAATCAGGAGACTGTTGTCCTTGTTGTTCTGGGTTGTCCTGTTGTTCTGGGTTGTCTTCTTCTTGTTGAGGTTGTTGTTGTTGACTATCCTGTTGGCTATGTTGGCGCTACTGAATGAGGGATTGTGCACCGGGAGGTAGGAATTGAGCGACTGCACCCACAAGTGATTGAAACTCCCGAAATTGGTGCTCTAGTCCCTCATTATGCTCTCTTGTTCGACGAATCTCTTCCCTCAGTTCATTCATCTCTTCAACATTAACAGAGGAGCTGGCTGCTTGATTCTGATGCTTGAGAATATCAGACCCACCCTGATAACAATGACCAAGTTGTCCAGCTCCATATAATCTTCCCTTATTTTTCCCTCCAATAGTGTCTACCCAACAACGAGACCTAATAAGATCATCCTCTGCAGAGTCTGTAGGAGTAGACTCTGCTTCGCCAACACATGAACCAGCAGATGACCTAGCCTGTGAAAGTCTAGTATGAAATTCCTCCTATTAGTACAAACAAAGAAATGTTGTAATATGATCAACTTTACTTATCATAAAATAAATCAAATGTGAAGAAACTTACATGTGTCTTCCTAGACCTTTCATCAACAAAATGACCTGTATTTTTTTTTATATGGGTCTGTTGGAAGATCTCATCAACAAACACTGATCTCCAAACTCTTTTGCCTGCATTACATTGACAAAATAAGAATTATATACAGCTTAGTTAGCCTTATATAATCCTAAATATATGTTTAAAAGACTTACCATACGCATGGCATGTTCATGTGTGGTGATGGAGCCACCTGTGTGTAGGTTTCCCCCTTTTTCAGATGCTCTGTTCTTTTGGGCCTGCACACATTTGGAACGATACATGGGTGAACTCCAATGTTCTAGTAACCTGCTCCAAACATGTTCTCCAATCCAATCTGGCCTTTGGCCAACAACTCTTGCATCCCGAAACATTTCACTAAGTTTGTGAGATGCTTTGGAATGAAAATTCTTCTTTATTTGATTTTCATGTTCCGGTCTGCATTGAACCTTCATCTGTAAGTAGACATTATTGTACAAATTATATAAAAAAGTACATAAATAAAAAGAAGAAACATGGTGTTAATTATATTAAATATATGAATAAAAAACCTAAGTGTGAAAGAAACATGGTAATTGGTATAATTAAATCTGAATAATTGAGTTATCTAATGTACGTGCTCAAAATATACAAATAGAAATTTTAATAATGTTACTCATTTAATATAAGTCATACTTCAATTACATTTATGATTTATATTTCAACCTATCATAAGAAAATTAATTCCCTTTTTTTTAGCCAAAGTATAATTTTTAATTTCTATTCAACTATATTTTATCGCTAAAATAAATAGAAATTTGTTTGACATAAAACCAAATAGAAACTTAATGAATAAATTTTCAGTTAAAGGAAAAAATGGAAATAGTAGATATTAAACATTAACTACGTTTTTTAATTTAACCATTTAAGTAAATGAAGCAAACACACTCATGTTATTTGATGTCAGTTCCCTTAACGGTAGCAATTATTATAAATTTATGCAATCAAGGTTTCAACCTAACTATATAGTGCAAAGGAAATTAAACCAGAAATAAAGAAGAGGTAGGGTTATTTTAACTTTCATCTTATTCTTGTAGTGGACAAAAGGCTTTCGCTTCATGTTAAGTTTCAACATATGGGATCACATGTCTATAATTGTACCACTACTTTTTTGTTCATATACTTCAAATTTTTCAAGTGAAAACGCCATTAATCAACAACCAAACTATAGTACAAACTTTTCAGGCATAGATAAAAATTTAGGAAAACTTTCATTTCCATACTTTTCTTTCCCATTCCCATAATCTCATTTACATGGTCCTCTGCAACTCTACACAATCATGATGGTCATGGCCCATACTCTTTTCCTCATGCTCATAAAATACTGCATTCACATTGAATCTCATTACATTATAGTGCCTAACACCATATCCATAACGTTTGCATTAGATATATAGGTAGAGGAGGAATAAGGCAATGAGCATTGGACAGTGCCCATATCTTGAGATCCTATATCAGTAGTAGTGACTATTTTCAGAATCTCTCCTTAAACAAGTAATCTATTATGAAAAGTGATTACATTTTGCATATATAATATTAAGGTAGGAAATTTATTTGACTAGTTTACATATAGTGACATAAAAACCATTCTAAATGAGTTGTTAAAACCATTCTTTTGTAATTATTTGCTTTGTTATATAATTATCTCAAATATATATAAAGGAAATCAAAACTCTTAATTCATTAAGATTCGTTCATTGTTTGGTTTATAGAGTCTAGATACAATGATGTGGAAGACATGTAGTTCACAATGCTCATAGACTATCCCTACTTAGTCTATAGATTTAACAAAGTTTAGACTAAACCACACATATAGACACTCACGAGTCAGGAGATGATGATCCAAGTGCCACACTCAAAACATACAAAAAAGAGGGATGAAAAAGTCTTGACAGATACATTTCATTTAGGCTAATAACCTATTTCAAGAAAGCTTCCCACATCTCATATGCCAAAGATTCCTCCATACATTCTCAGTAAAATCTTAATCACTTTTGTTTTGAATTTTTTTGTTAAAACACACACTCTTATTTTCTAGAAAAGTAGTTACCTTAAAACGTTGCCAGAAAGACTCCTTATCACTATTAGGAATCACTCCCTATGTCGCCCAAGGTTGAAGGAATTGCTGCTTAATACTCTTTGTAACAGCTTGTGATGCAACCCTAGACAGAAGAAACCTAATTTCAAAGAAAAAGTTATACAATGTATATATAGTCAAAAGAACTAAAACTTAGTTATAATATATATTGAGAATTAAATATAAATATTACCCTCGACCATAAGGTTCAATCATGGGTCGATCATGGAGAGCAGGATCATCTTCTGCAATCTCTGAATCGACATCCCCACTAGACTGTGATGTTCTAACTGTAATCTGTGGGGATGGAATCTGTGTAGGTGGATGTTGTTGCGAGGTGGAAGGACCTGCCATCGTAGCAAGGGATGCTGATGGAGATGAGTTGGGTCCCACAACTAGGGCTGGGGATAAGGTGGGTGTCAGAATCGGGGCTGAGGATGATATAGATGGTACTACATAAGTGGATGGTGTTGTCAGTGGTGTGGGTATAATAGACACAACAGAAGGGGATGGTGCTGTCAGTGGTGTGGGTATAGTAGGCATAACAGAAGGGGATGGTGTAGACCTTACCATAGAGGATGGTGATGGATGAGGTGTAGCAAGTGGAGAGAGTATGTCTGTGGGAAGTACCTTCAATACATAACGTGACCTCTTTTTTTTCGCTATTGCTTTCCCTTTATTCCCACCATTGGGTGAAGGTTTAGGTGAGTTAGACCCTCCTGTAGTCATATCTATAGGGAAATAAAATTAGACATAAATAATGATGTAAAAACATATATCAAATTAAGTAAAAAGACTTAATAACATTACATATAACAAATATGGATACAATATGTCTTAGTTATAAAATAAACATTATATGACATAATTATCCTAATTATGTTGAAAACTAAAGTCTTCTTCTTATTCTTCATCTTCATCATTGTCATCGTCATTCTCATCCTCATCCTCATCCTCATCTTCATCTTCATCCTCGGTTTCTTCCTCTTGACTTTCCTAATCCTCTTCATCTTGCTCTTCTTCCTCCCCTTGCTCTTCCTCTTCCAATTCTTCAGGATCAATGTCAAAGTCTTGTAAACCAAATATACCTTCAACTTCAATGACTTCATTACCATGTAACATTTCATCTAGTTGGTAAGGGACATCCTCTTCCACACCATCACATTCAATGCGACCTCTTGGTTTCACTACAAGAAAAAACCATTTTAGCGACCGAAAAAATTGGTCGCTAATGTCAAAAAATCAGTCGTTAACTGATTAGTGACCGAAAGGCGTCGTCGCAAAAAGTCAAGTCGTTAATGTGTTAACGATCGATTTTCATTTTGGTCGCAAAATAGCGACCAAAATTTATTATCATTATCGGGATTTGAACTTGATACCTTAGAGTTGGAAGCTAAAACTCCAACCATCGAGCTACTAGGATCTTTTAATAATAACTTACAAATAAATTATATTTATATACAAATAAATGTATATCCGTATAAATATATAAATATAAAATCTATAAATAAAAATATATTTATATATTTTAATATATATTTAAATATTGATATATTTATACATTGATATATTTATATATTGATATATTTATATATTGATATATTTATATCTTTATATCTTTATATTTTTACATATATTTATATTTTTATATATTTATATCTTTATATTTTTACATATATTTATATATTTCCATATTTATATATAAAGATATAAAGATATTAGTTTTGTATACAAATATAATTATAATATAGTATATTATACTATTAGTATAGTATACAAATTATATATTAGTATAGTATAGTATACAAATTATTAATTTTGTAATTTATATACAATGAAAATAATATAATGGTATATTAGTATAGTATAGTATATTTGTATTCTAATTTTTAATTAAATTAAAATTATACTAATAATATATAATAATATATGAGGGGATAATATTGATATATTGATATATATATATATATATATATATATATATTGATATATTGATATATTTATATTTTGATATATTTATATATTGATATATTTATTTATATCCTTATACATTTATATCTTTATATATTTGAAAAAAAAAATTAATATTATATTTTAAAAATAATATTATATTTTTAAAAATAAATATTAGAAAAAGATTTAAAGATATATATTTATATCTTTACATATTTATATATTTATATCTTTATATCTTTACATATATTTATATCTTTGTATCTTTACATATATTTATATCTTTATATATTTATATCTTTATATATATATATATATATATATATATATATATATATATATTTATATATTTATATGCTCCTTCCATATATGCTTCCATTTCATCCAGGTTAGGCCTTACTTTATATAGTGTTAAAATATATGGATTTTTTTTATATAATTAACTTTTTAAAAATATTATTTTATTTTCTCTTTTATTCTTTAAATATATTTACTTTTTTTATATATATATTTTTACTGTTTTTTAAAATCTATAAATCATAATAATTATTTTTTAAATTTTTTTTTCTCTCCGATGACACAAAAGACTAGTTGCAAAAGGAATTATTTTTATTCTCAAGATTTATTATTACGGATCTTTAACACATATTTAGCATAAAATTTATTATTCTCACAATCTTGCATTAGAAGAAATATAAAGATTTCAAACGTAAAGATCCAGTCCTTGAACAAGAACTCTTAAGATGTGCAAAATAATAATAAAAATATATTTTAAAAAGTTTATGTCGAAATTTTTAAAGTTAATTAAGATCTCAATTGAAATCTACCATTAAATAAAAAGTTGAATATAATCTTCTTTTTTATGCGACATTAAAGGACCTACCAAAAAATAATGTAAGATCTCAAAATGGGATTTATCATTAAAAATATCCTTATATATACTAATGAAAATACATGTGTTAAAGCCTCGTGTCCAATTTTTTGTATAATTTTTTTTAATATTATTTATAATTTTATTTTATTTTCTTTCTCATTATTTAAATATATCTACTTTTTTCTCTTTCTCATATTTTTACTATTTTTTAAATATATAATTTATAATAATTATATATATATATATATATATATATATATATTAACTATAATACTTTTTTTTAATCTGATGACATCAAAAGAATGATTAAGAAAAATCTTTATATATATATATATATATATATATATATATATATATATATATATATTATTTTAGCTTGTTAAGGTGAAATAAAATAATTTAGGTTGAAAAATGGATAATTATTTTATAACATAAAATTAATTTATATATAAATAAAAATAAAAATAGAAAAATTATATGAAAGGGCTTTTGTAAATTAATGTTTAATTTTAACTTTATGTTTATTTCAATTTTTTAAATTTTTTTATAAGTATTTATGATGAAAAACGTAGAAACATACTTATAATAATAAGTAATAGTTTGTTTAGAGAATCTTTTAAATTTTAAAGAAAAAATTAAGAATGTAAAATATATCAATTCTTTTTACAAATGCTTTTAAAAAAAAATGTTACTATTAAAAATTTTGGCTATTAAATTATGAAGGATAATTTAGAAAAATTAATATTTTTGTGTCAAGATTAGACTGATATTCATCAATGGAATACTAAGAAATTATATAAATAATATAATTCTACCTTCTACTCTTTTGAAATATGATTTTCTTATATATATATATAATTTTATTTTTTACGGGTCTGAATCTAAGCTGGAGTTCATATTCTTGATCTTTGACTTCCTTGTTGAACTGGTTGTTTATGTTTAAAAAATAATTCTTTATTTGAAACAAAAAATGAAGAGATGGAAATTTATCATATGTGTTGACAGGCAGGATGTGGAATCACCGCCGGACCCGGATGGTATATTTGCCAATGTCGTATTTATATGCGAAGAGGTTTGTTGGTCCAATCACACCTGTCATTTTATCTTTGAGAAAAGAACTTTACACCATACCATATCGATCGACATATAAACTGGGATCAAGCTCGTAATTTGTGTGCAAAGGTTAGTCAAACCTCTTAATCATCTTATCATTTGGATTTTATCATTTGTCTCTCTTCTATTCTATATGTTCTTTCATGTTCCTTTAATTGATTTAGGTTATCGTTATTATAGTTTCCTTTTTTAGTATTCTTTTGAAACCAGCTCAGTTCCGGAAAAAAGGATTAAGTGAATTGCGAAGAAAATTATAAATTATATATAATAATAATAACTAGTTTTTTTAAGAATAAAAAAGAATTAAATTTTAATTGAACATCTGATTCATGTCATTATTATCATTTACATTTACAGTAAAAATCTCATTTATAAGAGTGATTTGTAAAATTAAATTAGATCTAATACATATTCCAAAATTATAATAAGAGTAATATAAAAATATTGAAATATTTAGTATTGCTCCACATGTAACTATTTTTTTTTTTTTAAGAAAACCATATGTTTGTTTCCTTTTAAATTGAAAGAAGAACTTGTTCTCGTAATCGATTTTATTACCATTTCACCGTAATCATATCTTATCATCTCTACAATGATGTTTTTTTTTTTTTTTTTTTTTTTTTTTATGATAATATTAGAGCATAGTATTCATTCATTTTTGTAATGACTCTTTTTTATTAAGAATTTTGATTTACCATTTTAGTAAAATCTACTCCCAACAATTCTATTTACAACTAATCAAAATTTTAAATAATTGAAGGATTAAAAGGAATTGATTAAAATTTTCTGTTAGAATAATCAAGTGAATAACATATAATTAAAAATAATAAAAAAATATAAAAATGTGAAAGAACACAAAAATGGGAGGAGAATATAAAATATTTTCTTATTTAATATATTTATTTATTTGTTTTAATATTTATAAGAAAAAAATGGTAATTAAAATTATAAATATACATGTAAATTATAAAAATTAAGATTAATTCTCATATTCAAGGTATTGTGTATTTTTAGAGCTCTCATCCATTACAACTTTCCTTAAAAGATATCTTAGTGAGTTGAGAAAAAATATATGATATATATATATATATATATATATATATATATATATATATATATATATATAAATTATCAATGATCTCAACTTCTAAATGAGACTTATGACCTTATGAAAGAGAAAATAATAAAATAGAAGAATAAACCTAATCTTTCGTACTTGAATTTGAATCTAAGATAAATAATGCATAAGCGACACTTGATTTTATAATGTAAGATAAAATTTAAACAGATAGAATTCAATTTCATACACATGAAAAACTACTCTATTAATATTGGTAATTCAAAGTAAATGGGAATGAAAATTACTTCCTATTTATAGAAAGTGGTGTGGTACTTAGAGGAAAATAAGAGATATATGGTTTTTCCAAATGTAAAATTCAAATCCCCTTAAGAGATATGTTGGTAATCCTATATACACATGTTACATGTGTAACATATTTAATATGTACTTAGGCTTTTTCTCATATGTGCTTCCAAACTCGTGTAATGTGAATATGAATGTGACCAAAGAAAAATTATTAAGAATTTGGCAAAATACTAACACAAACAAATTTTGCTAAGAGATAAAATTACAATGAAATACAAAACAAAGAAACTAATTATTGATTCTTCATTATAAATCTTTTGGAGGTGAGAGACACTATAATTTTTTTAAATTTTTGTAACTTATATGTAAATTAATGATTTTGATCCTATTTTCAAATTTAATTATGATTAAATATATTTATTTATATATTTATAATTTTAATATTTTATTTAATTTTTTTATAAATATTAAATAAATTTATTAAATACATTAAATAAGAAAAAAATTTATATTTTTCCACTTTTTCATATTATTTTATATTTTTATATTTATTTATTATTTATTAACAATATATTATTTATTTTCTTTTGATCACTTGAATTTGTTCCTGTCGAATTTTCATCATTAAGCCTATTCTTTATTACATATGGAAACTAATTTTGATTATCATCTCTGTCAATAGCCTCTAATAAATTATTTATAAATATAGGATCGTGATTAACTTTCTGAAAATTTTGATTAAATAAGAATTTCCTCAAAAGAGTTGTAAGACTGGTTTAATATTATCAATAAATATTTTATTATAAATTTATAAACTTAAAATTAGAAAAAAAATTACTTAAAATTAAAAAAATATATTTATATAAATAATTTTAATACATTTTTAAATAATTCAAGTGTGAAATCGATAATAAATATATTTTTTTATTCGAAAAGATACCCAATATATTATGTTAACAGTGTTTCACTTCCATGACTATCAACTTTATAGTTAAGTGATTATTCTTGATGAATATAAAACTGTTTTTGGTATAACCGTGATAACTCTCCTAAAATGTTGATCCTGCTAGCTGAAAACACTGAAAGATTTTACATCTCTAGAAGAATAAAAGTTAGAATATGACTTCTTTTTTTTTAATATTCGACAAATATTGCTCTGATATATATACATTTGTTTTTATGCAGGAAGACTTGTACTACCCTCACTCACTTGTGCAGGATATTCTCTGGGCTACCCTACACAACATCCTTGAGCCTATTTTGATGCATTTTCCCGTCAATAAGTTGAGAGAAAAGGCTCTTAGGAATGTAATGGAGCGTATACACTATGAAGATGAGACTACTCGTTATATTTGCTTAGGTCCTGTAAACAAGGTAATTGTTGAGTGTGGGCAAGAATCCATGCTTTGTTCTTATACTTTCCACCCTTTTCAGTAGGAGTTTCAGAACCTGCAAATTTTACTTTTACTATGTTGATTATATATTTCCATGTTATTCTACTTATGTTTCCATCAAAACAGGAAATGCTTAGCAATACTGATGCTACTTGGTTATTATATTATTCTCAATGGTACTCATTCAGGTGTTAAATATGCTGTGTTGTTGGGTTGAAGATCCAAATTCTGAGTCCTTCAAGTTGCATCTTCCAAGGATTCATGATTATCTATGGATTGCTGAAGATGGCCTCAAAATGAAGGTCATAAGCCAACTCTTTTTCACCTTTCCAAAGTTATCAAGTGATGTTTTTTTCTTTTAATTGCACATATTCTATAATTTCTAATTGGTTAGGGATTATATGTACATAGCTGCTCTGTCCCTATAGTGTTTTAAAATAAAAATAATGTTCTAAAATTTACTTATAACTACTGATGTTGACATGGAATTTGGAGATAAAATTCAAATTAATTTTTATGGAAATAAAGAAATTAATATTAAAATTAATATTTTTAAAATTGGACAGGAGAGGTGAAAAATATTAAAGATTTGATGAAATTCAACCAAATTTAATAAAATAATATTTTTATAATATAATAAATTTATTAATAATAATGTTTTATTAAAAAAGATGTTGGAAGTGCTTACATCGATTACCTCATGTCATTTGATATGGTTTAAATACGTATTAGACTACTCTATATATTACCAATTAGTTTTATGTTGGAACCTACAATTTATTATTATAATTACATAATAACGTGGATAATTATTAAAATAAGATAAAAATTAAAATATTATATTTTTTATAAAAAAAAAATTGATCTTAATCTTTATTTATTTTTTACTAAATTTTTTTTTGGATTTTATCCTTATTTTTTTATTTTATCTCCATTTAATTATAATTCAGGTATTTTGAGGTAACAATCTGATTTTTAATTGGTTAAACAGATGGTTCGATGAGATTTTCAAAATACAATTAAAACCAAATCAATAATTAAAAATTAATTGATTTTGAATCTAATTATATATAAATATATAAAAACAATTATCCAAAAGTAAAATATACATGATTTTGTTAAAAACACACACATAAATTAAATAATAGAAAAACTATAAAAAAGTTATATAACTATAATTTATCAGAATTATTAATAAAAAAATACATCGATGATTTAGTTCGAATCTACTAATTTGTAAATTATAAATTCAATATAGAATCCATCCTCTTAAATTTGATTGGTTTAATTCATACTGGATTTCATTAACACAAAAATTAAAACTAATTTAATTAGTTTAGTTTGTAAAATCATAGGGATTGAATCAGTAAACACTCAATAAAGCGCATTTTGTTGCAGGGATACAATGGATGTCAACTATGGGATACTGCATTCATTGTCCAAGCAATTATTTCAACTAACCTAGCAGAGGAATACGGTCCAACCCTAAGGAAAGCTCATGCATTCATCAAGAATTCGCAGGTAATTCTTAGTTTGCATTTATCATTGTACTTCTGCATTGGTTTATCTTTGTTTATCAAAATCTTTTATGTTTTTTCTTCAAAGATTTTGGAAGACTGTCCAGGTGATCCAAATAAATGGTTTCGTCATATTTCAAAAGGTGGTTGGCCTTTTTCCACTGCAGATAATGGATGGATAACTTCTGATTGCACTGCTGAAGCACTAAAAGTAACTAAATGTTTATGATTGTTATTATTTGACAGTTTCTGGTTGAATAAATTTAGGTGGTGGAAACTTGATGCATCGAATGTTCATAAATGAACTTCAAAATGATAAGAAATGAGAAAACAAAATGAAAAAAAGAGTGTTTGCCGGTAAACCTTCATCTTTTTTTCTTCTCGTCATTTTGGAATTCATTGAAACATCCACCACATAAAATTGTTCAACCAGATACTGTGAATTCTTGGTAGGAGAAGTCATTATTAAAAGAAAATAGAGATTGCTGGTTTGGTTCTTCTTTCTTGATTCGCAGTTTCTTTTCTCAGGCTGTTCTCTTGCTGTCCAACATAGCACCAGGGATTGTTGGTGAGGCATTGGATGCAGAGCGATTATACGATGCAGTAAATATCATTCTCTCGTTACAGGTAGCTATAGACTAATTCCAAATAGTTTGAGCGGTTAAAATGTTGAATTTAACTGCAAAACTTCAAATAATTAATGTGATCGATTCTTATATATGTTTGATTGTAATCAAGTTATACAATTTGTTGGGAGAATCAACATGTTTGATTAATTTTTCTTTTTCACGTCATTGCAGAATGAAGATGGCGGTTTTCCGACGTATGAACTCACACGATCTTATAACTGGATGGAGGTAGGTAGCGTTACATTATTACTTATGAAGTTGTTCTGCAACAAATTTGGGTGAAAAATTAAAACTTGTGTCTGTTTTCTCAGATAATGAATCCTTCTGAAACATTTGGAGACATAATTATCGATTATCCGTAAGTTATATGTCTTTGTAAACAATCATGCAGTTCATTGTCAGGCATAATTTCGAGGGTTGATTTGATTAACATGTGTTTATTGTATGGTTTATAGTTACGTGGAATGTACCTCAGCAGCTATTGAAGCTTTGACATTATTTAGGAAATGTTATCCTGGGCATCGTGGACAAGACATACAAGTCTGTATCGAAAAAGCTGTTGGCTTTCTTCAAAAAGTACAAGCTTCAGATGGCTCATGGTTTGAAACTCACCTTGAATTAGTAAAAACTAGTTTGAAACAGTGCATCAAAACAAATGTAACCACTTAAAATGTAAAACAGGTATGGTTCGTGGGGAATTTGCTTCACTTATGGAACATGGTTTGGAGTAAAAGGGTTGGTCTCGGGTGGAAGGAGTTTCAGTAACTGCTCAAACATTCGTAAAGCTTGTGACTTTTTGCTGTCCAAACAACTCCCTTCTGGTGGCTGGGGAGAGAGTTATCTGTCCTGTCAAAACAAGGTTTCTCTCTAATATTAATATCATTTTATGAACACTTGGAATAAAAAAAATAGTAAACTTTGTCTTTTAAATTAATTTTGAAAAGTTACTTATTTTTTTAATTCTTTTATATTAATTTATGTTTTATATTTTCTGTGGATTTTCCTTTCTTCTCATTCTCTTTTTTAGAAATATTTAAGAAAAAGCTTACCGAAACAGATTTTAAGTATTTTTACATAATTATACGAGTATAAATATTGTTTATAACAATTTTGTTGAATTATGCTTAAATAGTTTTTAAAACTTATTAGTTATAACCTTTTTAAATTTTAAATTAAATATTAAAAGTGAATTATTTTTAGGGGTGAAAAATTGAGTCAATTCTTTTTTCACAAATTGATCCTAACTTATTTTATAATAAGCTAAAAATTTTACAGTCTGGTTGAACCCACGGTATGAATTGTGGATTAAGTGAATTGATTTACTAATCCACTACGAATGCAATAAATAAAAAAATGTGGTAGATGCAGTAGATGAATAGAGGTTAGAGACATAATAGAGATAAGCGTACTAGATGGATACAAGAGACGTAGTGATAAATGCAAAAAATGTTATAAATTAAGTAAACTTGTCAGACGAGACGAAACGACACAAATACAATAATTTTGAGTGAAAATGGTTTTGTTAATTTGTAGTAATGTAAATAGATGAAAATAAATTTTTTTAAATTATTAATTATTTTTAAAATTTAAAATATAAGTTCGATTGTAGATTAACCTATCATAATCGGATGAATTGTGGATGAATCCATCATAAGTGAATTAGGATAAAAAAAAAAATCAAATCTAACCTACTCAAAACTATAATAAATTGGATTAACCTAATTATTTGCTTACTATGTCTTTAGGTATATACAAATCTGGAAGGTAACAAGGGTCATGTAGTAAACACTGGGTGGGCTATGCTGGCTCTCATTTATGCTGGACAGGTATATAAGAATTTTTTTTTAATCTTTTAATGATATCATTATCTTAATTAATTGATTAATTTATATTATGATGTGTAATTAATAATGATACAGGGTGAGAGAGATCCCACACCACTGCACAAAGCTGCTATGTGTACCTGATAAATTCTCAGATGGAGAATGGTGACTATCCACAACAGGTATACAACTGATTTAGGTTAACGCAACTTTTTAGTGCCTCAAATTATAATGGCTTGGCATTAATTATTATTATTATGATTTCAGTTGTTAAAAATATATTAATGATGGTACCATTTTTTTATGACTTAAGGAAATAATTGGAGTGTTCAACAAGACTTGCATGATCTCATTTGCAGCCTACAGAAACATATTTCCGATATGGGCCTTAGGAGAATACAGACGCCATGTATTGCAAGCCTGTTAGAAGTATTTTTTATTTAATTATTTCTTGTTTTTTTTATTGTTCCCTTCCAACGTTGATGATGGTGAATTTGTTATTATTATTAAACATTATTCTGTTTAAGATGGAGAATTTTATCTTATATCTTTGTCATTAATATAAATGATAGATTTTTTTTTATTACTGTTAATGTTGATCGAAGTAGGTCCCTCAAATCAGCAATATCTAAATCTAATATTCTTATATAAGTCTCTTTTTATCTATGTATTCCCTTTTAGTTACGAATAATTTTCGGGTTAGTTATTATCCTATATGCGATTCTCTTGGTAACAGGTGTAATTTTTAAGAAGATATCTATTATATATCTGAAAGATATTGATCACACGACAAGATAGAAAACTACATTTTATTATTCTTTTTTATGAAACGTGTTTAAAACAAATAATATGAAATATACTAATTTTATATAAATTTAATCAAATTCATAGATATTTCATTAGTCTTAAAATCATAACACTTTCAAGAATACAATTCAAACATAGTTAAAATTGAATTTCAAATTAGATCATCTAACCTAATGGATAATAAAGATTTAATTAGCTTATGTTAACTAAGGTTCCTTACTCTATAAGAAAACCGTAGATTTAATAAATTGATTCACAAACAAAATACATCATTATGAACAAAGACTATTAATATTCATCTTTTTAATACAAAATTTACGTGTGAAATCAAAGCTCCACATCTAATAGATAGAAAAAAAAAATCTTATCCAAATTAAAATTCTAATGGGACATTATGATCTACTTCATCACCTCCTTGGTCTTATATTTTGATAAGAGAATAATAATAAAAGCAAATTTTAAAATCTAGAGATGGTATAGATTTTTAGAAAAAAAAACAAATAAAAAGAATATTAGATAAATAATGGTTTTTAATAAATATAAATAAAATACTTAATTTTTCTATTTGTAATTTTTAAAACTTAACTATATTTAAACTTAGACTATTCAACAATTTAAAACCTTTTCGTCATTTCTGCTAGTATTCTTTGGACATAGTATTTCTTAATTAATTTCTAAAGCATATGTAGAGATAAGAGAAGCTTACACACCAATTTTTAAATTTCCTTCCGAATGATGATGTTTTTCATATTTGGATTTTTTTAAGAATTTTTGGATCAAATCATATATTATTAATAAATAATAAATAAATATAAAAAGTAAAAAAATAAAATTTTAAATATATAAATAAATAAGTAAATAAAATTTTAAATATACAAATAAATATATTTAATAATAATTAAATTTAAAATGACAAAAATCATAAATTCATATGAGCAAATCTCTTTTTAGTCACTTTCTCCTAATAACTTCCAACTTTCAAAAAGTGAGGAATTCATTTTCCCATGCTTCTTACTATTACTTCAAAAATAAGAATAAAATTGATAATTTGGTTATTAAAAATATGATTAAACACAATTTTTTACAAATATTTGAAAGGAAAAATATATAAAATAAAATTAAAATTTTTATAAATTAAAATTAACTTATACATAAATTATAATTGGTAATATTTCTCTGATATATTGTTTTAAAATATTTTGTTTTTAAATATGTCTCTGTAGAAAAACTCATCTAAATATGTTTATATTTTAAGAAATTACCTAAATAATGGTAAATGTCACACAATCCTTCGCATTACATGACTTCATCTATTTGATAGCTTACAACTTTTCACTGCTTTAATTGTTTCTTAAGGAACCAAAATTTTTGAAGCATTTGAGTGAAGTTGGATTAAGGAAGCATAAAACCCATCCTTGACTCGAACGAGTGTTTCATGGCTTCCCTTCTCTACAATGCCTCCATCTTTCACAACAGCAATCAAATCTGCATTTTTTATTGCAGATAGGCGATGTGCCACCACCACAGTGGTCATATTCACCATGACGTTGTCCAATGCTTCTTGAACAACTCTCTCTGATTCAGCATCTAATGCACTTGTGGCTTCGTCCAATAGCAATATTTTTGGACTTTTAATCATAGCACGGGCAATGGCTACTCTTTGCTTCTGCCCACCAGATAATTGGGTTCCCCTTTCTCCCACTGCAGTGTCATAGCCATGTGAAATGTGAGAAAGTGTTAACCCAAGTACAATCTGAAAAGTTCACTTAAAAAATACATCAAATTGTTTTCATTGTGAAATTGTTGCTAAATTTAGATATAATATCATAGCTACTTTATGTAATATTGTTCAAGAAAACTTTAAATTTAATTGAAGGATCACACGCATAATACTTATAATACTATTTTACCTGTTGTAATCCACTGATAAACACATGGGCATTAGCTAGTTCTGCTGCTGCTATGATTTCTGCTTCAGTTGCATCACCTCCCTTCCCATAAGCAATGTTGCCACGAATAGTGTCATTGAACAATACTGGCTCTTGGCTTACAAGACCCATTTGCTGTCTAAACCACTTGAGTTGTAGCTCCCCAATTGGTACACCATCAAGTGTGATTTGACCTGAATTGGGATCATAAAATCTCTGCAACAACGCAATCACTGTGGATTTTCCACTTCCACTTTCACCAACAAGGGCTACTGTCTGGAACATCAGTTTTGGTCATAACCATTTGTTACAAGTTACAACATACAAATGCTTTAGTTTCCTTTTGCATTGAAATGATGTTTAAATGTACAACTCAAACTTTACCTTGCCAGAATGGATAACCAAGTTAAGGTCTCGAAATATCTGTATCTTAGGCCTTGATGGGTACTTGAAATTCACATGACGAAACTCAATTTCTCCCTCAACTCTATCCAATGTGGTACCAGACTCATTCCTTGGATCTATCTCTGACTTCTTATCAATTATGCTAAATATGGCAGCAGTAGCTGACTTGGCTTTGCCAGAATCTGGAGAAATTGTGCTAAACTGGGAAACTCCAATAGCTGCCATGGTTAAAGCAAAGAAAACCTACAAAACATATAAATCTTCACATTTTCAAGAAGGAAATATGTAATCTTGACAACTAACACCAGACCTTTTTTCTTTTTTTTTTGTCATAACGTTAATAATGAAGAAGTTATTTAGTACCCGAAAAACATCTGAGAATGATGCTTCTCCAGAGGCCACTAGTCTAGCTCCTGCATAGAAACTAGTTGCATAGACACAAAACAGTAAGAAAAATGAAACCCCAAATCCTAATCCACTGATCAACCCTTGCCATATCCCTGTTTTCATGGGGTCCTCACATTTCATCCTATACAAGTCCATAACCTTGTCTTCAGCACAGAAAGAAGCTACTGTTCTTATATTTCCAACTGCATCCTTAGCAACTTGGCTTGCTTCCTCGTACATCATCTGTACCAGAATCCATGACTTCAGTCAGAAATTCTAGTAATTTAAACAATGCATGGGAATGAAAAAAAAAATAAAAACAACTTACTTCGCATCTTTGCTGAACCCCTTCATGAATTTCGTTTGAACATAGCCATTTGCACCAATAAGGGGAATCAAGACTAGAATAATCAAAGCCAGCTGCCAGCATGCAATGAAAGCAATGATCAAACCTGCCAAGGCACACGTTATATTTTGGACCAACAGCCCCAGTGCATCACCAACAAGGGCGCGCACAGAAGCAGCAATTTCTGAGAGCCTTGCACTAATGGCACCACTTGAGTTGCTAGGCTCATCAAACCAACCAACCTCCATGCTCACCACTTTCTCAAAACATATTACCCTGATACGTTGGATTAACTTGCATCCAGCCACAGAAAAAAAGTATGCTCGAGCTGGAATTACCAACAATGATGCAAGACCAAGGACCACAAACATTAGTGCCCAAAATTTGGAGTCCTTTTTCATTTCATTAACTGGTTCATAAAATGTTTTAACCGCACTGGATATCAACACCCCAAATATGGGAAGTATAACACCATTTGCTATGGCAGCTACACATCCAATCAGAAGAACTGGAAACTCTGGCTTGTTGAGGGAAGCAAGTCGGTGAAGTGAAACCTCTTGTGCTTGATTTTCAAGTAATAAGTCTTCATCTTCAGTAGCAGGGACACTAACTCCTGTGGGTAAACCATTGGAAAGAGAAAATGAGTGGCTGCTACTACCCCCCAATGATGATCCCCTGCTAATGGATCTCCTAAGTGATCTCTTTTTAGTTAACTGTGTAGAGGGTTCTGTAGAAAGTTCACTCTTGCTGTGATAGCTTGTAGTTTCTTCTGATTCCTTGTTTACTTCTTGTAAACGTATCAATTGAGAGTAAGCTCCCTCGAGATCCTTGAGTAGTTCCGAGTGTGTTCCTAATTAGCAAACACTTGAAAGTTATATATACAAACAAAATTTTGACCATTTGGATTCTACTCAAATGCTAATAACACTCTTGATAATATTATTATTAGTAAAATTTTATTGAAAATTACAAAAATGAAAATAATTAATCATCTTTTCATATGATGAAAGGTTGAATCAGGAAAGAAATTAACCATCTTTTTGGATAAACATGTGTGGTACCTTTTTCAACCACCTTCCCTCTATGAATTACAACAATCATATCAGCATTCCTTACTGTGCTCAACCGATGCGCCACAACAACAGTAGTTCGGTTAACCATTACCCTGTCTAGAGCCTCTTGCACTGTCCTTTCAGACTCTGCATCAAGGGCACTAGTAGCTTCGTCCAGAAGTAGAATTCTTGGATCCTTTAAGATTGCTCTTGCTATAGCAATGCGCTGTTTCTGTCCACCAGAGAGTTGAGTTCCTTGTTCACCAACCATTGTGTTCAATCCCTGCAAGCGTGTCAAGGTAAAAGTCTAAAAGTTTCTAACAATTTCTAAGAATAAAATTAGAAATCCATCTGTGGCTAGAATGTAGAACCTGTGGCAGTTTGTCAATGAATTTAGTAGCATTTGCAAGTCCACATGCTGATCTTATCTCTTCAATTGTGGCTCCCTCCTTTCCATATGCAATGTTATCTTTAATGCTTGATGCAAACCACACTGGCTCCTGGTTAACAAGGCCAATTTTCCCCCTCATCCACCTAAGCTGAAACTCTTTCAGATTAATGCCATCAATAAGAACTTCACCTGCCTGAGGATCATAGAATCTCTCTATCAAACTGATAACCGTAGATTTTCCACTCCCACTTTGTCCCACTAGTGCAGCAATTGTACCACTAGGTATATCAAGAGAGAAACCATTGAATATCAACTCCTCAGGCCTCGTTGGATAACTGAAACAAACATCCCTCAACTCTATTTCACCTTCAATATCTTCCAATATTTTCCCATTTGGATCATAAGCATCTATCACTGGCTTCCTCTCAATTGTTTCAAACATTTTGTAAGCTGCAGCTTGACCCGCAGCAAAAGCACTCATGATAGGGGATGCCTCCCCAAGAGACCTAATTAAGATATGAAAAATAAGAGAACGAGTTATATGAATTAAGTTAGTTCATAAACATATTGAGATGAAGCTTACTTACATTGAAGCAGTTAAAAAAGAAGCAATCACATTAAGCACCGTGCCCCCATTATATTTCTCTTCATTTTCCATTATCATCTTTGCGCCAAACCACACTGCCAAAGCATAACCACTAAAAACAAGAAGCATAACTGTGCCAAGGGCCACCCCAGCAACAGAACCTTCATGAACTCCTGTTACGTAAGCTTCTACAAGAAATTTGCTGTAGTTAGACACTGCCTGTTTTTCCCCTGTAAATGATGCAACCTGAAAATTAACACAGGAAAGTAAGTATGATTAGTATTACTATAACCTGCTTGGAGAAGTTGCTTCATAGGACTTACATATTTATAGTATTGCAAGTTCAAACAATGACATTAACTTAAACCATTTTAATTTAACTAATCACATATTGAACGGATATGCTCCTACACAGTCAATTTTACTTTATTTTTGGATCAGAAATGAAAAGATATTTAATTAAAAACGTTGTACCATAAGAGACAAGCTACAACATGATATCCATACTTCAGCTACAATATGTTCTGTTATATAGCAAGTATTTCAGTTACTTTGCTGCAATATATCAGAAACAAAACAGAACCCATTACCATAATTCCTATATATTGCACTTCTGCAGAGGTTCACAAAAACCAAGTTATGGGATCTGGCACTGAGGACCAAAGGTGGGTGAGTAAGGAACACTATCTAGCATATGATATTATTATCTTTTGTAACCTTACATTACCATTTCAATGTTGCAAGAAGAAGAAGAAAGAGAAATTTATTGGTCCAACCGTTTTTTGGATTGCTTTTACTCTCTATTTACTTTCATGTACGATTTGACATATACTTTACTCTTCGATATACGAAGAATATAATGAATATATATATATATATATATATATATATATATATATATATATATATATATATATATATATATATATATATATATAAAGAATATTTCTTTGCTAAAAAAATAACTTAGATGCGTTTTTATTCCTCATAACTTAATAAACTTTATTGACAGTTCCTAATATTTTTTTCTTTAATCTTACCGTCCCTAATAATTATTTTATTTTATTTTTCCCCCCAATTTAAACAGTGGTTTGAACTTCTATTTAAAGTATTTTAAATAAAGTTAAAAATAAAATACAAATTTATTAGATTGAAAAAGGTTTTAAAAAATTAGTAAAAAATCAATAATTTATCATAAACAAAAATATTTAACCAAAACAAATTTAGACAACTTTAAAAAGATTTAGACTAACATCTACAGTTTTTCCCGACATGACTTATATAAATGCAAGTCAAACATCATAAAATAGAAGAATACTTTTAAAATTTATAAAGAGCGATTAAATATAAAATTAATGATATTTTGAAGATATTTTTAAAATTTATAATAATAAAATAAATAAATAAAACTGGATCACAAATATATCTTATCGAATATTTATAAAGGAATAAATATTAAGCATTATATATAAACAGGATTATAAGTAATAGAATTTTTAACTTAAAATCTTTACAAGACTCTTTAACTTAAAATGTTCATAAATGATAAAATATTTAAGTTAAAATATTAAGATATTATATTTATTGATGTTTAAAATCTTGAGATATTATATTAATTGATTTTTTATTATATAATTAAATCTTAGGGTTTATATTTAGTAATACTATATTTATTAAATTTTATATTAATTAGAAATATTATAATATAAGTGAGATAAAAAACTTATTATTATTAAACTGGTTTTTTACTCGTAAACTTGAATGATGTTTTATTTATATAAATATCTTATTATTCCAGGAGTTATCATGAATTATTAAAATAAAAAACAAAATATGTATTTATATTTTATCTAATAAATACATCAATTTTAAAAATTGGATCTTCGTTTATTTTTAGACTTATATCTACTCAAAATAAATATATCTAGTTATACAAATTTAAAAATTTATATCTAATTAACTGCATGATAATATTATAATATGTTAAATTAATTTGATAATATTAAATTAAGTATTTCTTAATTTTGATTTAATAATATATTATTGAAGTCAACCCGAAACAGGGAGGAATGTTAAAAACTTACTGTTCTTATGGATGCAATTGTCTGGTGAAGTACGTGTGCAGCTTTTGCATAGGCAGCTTGACCTCTGGAAGCCATCCTTCCCTGGATGATGGCCATGGCAGCTCCTGACAAAACAAGGAGTGGAAGCATGCACAGCATCACAACTGTAAGAAGCCACCCTTTCGCAAATGCTATCGCAAAGCCCCCTATGAACGTTGCTATCAGCTGCACAAACTTCCCAACCTGTTTCAAAACTTTTCGATCATGCCACATCTTCAAACATCATCATAAACCAGAAAACACTGTAAGGCTTTGTTTGGTTGGAGTGATTTGAGAGAGTGGAATTGAGAGAGTGGAAAAGGAGGGATTTGAAGAAAAATGGAGATGATTGAAAAGTGAAAGGAAAGTTTATGAGAAATTGTGAATGATTTGATTGATATGAGATATAAAAATTACAATTTTATGTTGATTATTTAAGAAAATTACAATTTTACCCTTTGTATAAAATAAGGTTCAAATGATTATAAATATAAATTTTTAATTAATTATCCATATTTTAACATTAATTATATATTTAAAAGAAAAAACAAAATTAAAAGTGTTTGTAATTGGAAACAAATTTAAAAAATTAACTTTTTTTAGATAGTTATTAAAAATTATATAAATAAACAATTACAAAATTATGTACATTGCATATTCATATTCAAATAATGTTGACATATTAAATAAATTATTTGACTAATAATTAAATAATTATAAAATATAAAATAATAATTAATATTGATTGATAATAACAAATAATTATGAAAACTAATAATATAATTGTACATTATTATTTAAAACAAATATAAAATACAGATGAAAATAGAATAATAATTAAATGAAACATTACTAAAATTATAAACCTATGCACACTAATGCTCTTCAAACAAATAATTATAATGTTATTCATCTTTTGCGATCAAGTCCTCCAGTTCAGATCATTCAATCACTTCCACTCAAGAACATGAACAACCTGGGAGAGACGAAGATGTCTCATATATCTGACTCCGAATGTTGAAATGTTGATGATCGTCTCATCACATTAACTTGAGATAAAATAATTACAATATAATTTTCTACTTTAAGAATTAATAATATAATTAAACTCAAAATTGAGAATACTCTTATACATTTTGAACTCTTTTGGATAAATTTTGTTTCCCTAATTTTTGATAAAGTTCATTTTAATATTTAAAATTATTTAACATTTTGAATTTCGAAAGGTTTTCTCTAATAGCAAATTAAAAAACATAATATTCAAAAAAATATTTTAAGATTCGGTCTCGGGTTGCATTTCACTCGAGCGACTATATCTCGCTCGAGCGAAAAATGATCCTGATCGATCATAATTTGAAATGATCGATCATAATTGGAGGATATAATAGCGGTTCTCTGTAATCGCTTATCTAAAGTGTATATTAGATAGCGGTTCCAGTGGAACCGCTATCATATACAACCATATTTTAATTTCTTCGAGTCTCGGGTTGTGTTTCGCTTGAGCGACTATATCTCGCTCGAGCGAAATATGATTCTGATCGATTAGATTTTCGAAATGATCGATCATATTTCATAATTTTTTCAAATAATTAATTCTAATCGATTATTTTTCTAAATTATTGATTAGAATTGATTAGTTTTTCAAATAATAGCTTAGAATTGATTAATTTCTGAAATATATATTAAAAAATTATAATTAAAAATATAGATTATTTAAGAATATTAACTATTGTAAAGATAAAGTAGAACATGGGAGGAGATGAGGATGATAATATAATGATAGAAGTTACAAAAATGTAGAATTGAGAAGTTTGAAACAAAAAAAATTAAGAAAATAGAGATTTAATTACACTTTTAATAAATTGAAGATAATTACAATATAATTTTCTACTTTGAGAATGAACAATATAATTAAGAAGATCAAGTGTAATGTTATTGATGCTAATTTTAACAATAATACAATAATATTATTTTCGAAAATGCCCATATTCATGTGAATATTTTGATTATTATTATATAAAATAATTAAAAGAATAAGGTAAATAGAAAAGTAAAATGCATGGTTATACCACTTTCCTTTTAATCTATAATTAGTTAGGTATGAATCAAATGTAAAGTCTAATGTTATTGATGCTAATTTTAAGAAGATCACAAAATGTAAATTAAATAACTACAATATAAATTTCTACTTTGAGAATGAACAATATAATTAAACTCAAAATTGAGAATACTCTTATACATTTTTGAACTCTTTTGGATAAATTTTGTTTTCCTAATTTTTGATAAAGTTAATTTTAATATTTAAAAGTATTTAACATTTTGAATTCGAAAGGTTTTCTCTAATAGCAAATTTCAAAACATAATATTCAAAAAAATATTTTAAGATTCAGTCTCGGGTTGCATTTCGCTCGAGCGACTATATCTCGCTCGAGCGAAAAACGATCCTGATCGATCATAATTTGAAATGATCGATCATAATTGGAGGATATAATAGCGGTTCCTCTGTAACCGCTATCTAAAGTGTATATTAGATAGCGGTTCCAGTGGAACCGCTATCATATACAACCATATTTTAATTTCTTCAGTCTCGGGTTGTGTTTCGCTTGAGCGACTATATCTCGCTCGAGCGAAATATGATTCTGATCGATTAGATTTAAGAAATGATCGATCATAATTGGAGGATATAATAGCGGTTCCTCTGTAACCGCTATCTAAAGTGTATATTAGATAGCGGTTCCAGTGGAACCGCTATCATATACAACCATATTTTAATTTCTTCAGTCTCGGGTTGTGTTTCGCTTGAGCGACTATGTCTCGCTCGAGCGAAATATGATTCTGATCGATTAGATTTAAGAAATGATCGATCATAATTGGAGGATATAATAGCGGTTTCTCTGTAACCGCTATCTAAAGTGATATATAATAGCGGTTAAGATTTAACCGCTATTAGAAGTGATATATAATAGCGGTTATGTTTTAACCGCTATTAGAAGTGATATATAATAGCGGTTAAGTTTTAACCGCTATTACAAGTGCTATTATAATAGCGGTTAAGATTTAACCGCTATCATATGGAAGAGGGTAAGTTGGACATTTCATTATCTCCAGTAGACTTTCGTCTCTTTTCTTTGCAGATTAGCGAAGAAAGCCTCTCTCCCCTCTCCCCCTTTTCCTCGCCTGCATTTCTTCGCAAATCTGTTCAACCAAATGTGGGTGAATCTCGTGCTTCTGTCTTCATGAACAGTATTTCGTCGCAAATCAGTTCAAACAAACACAACATAAATGTAAACATGCCACCTTCTCTCCCATGGCGTCTTGAATGAGAACAGTATCACCTGATATTCTCCCTATCACTTCCCCAGTGTTTGTCTCCTTGTCAAAGAAAACAATGTCTTGTCTTAGGATACTTTTCAAATACAATCCCCTAATCCTCGCCGCCTGTCTCTCCCCTGTCACCATCCAGCAAGTCACCTCTGAAAAATTAAACCATTCTTTGAGTGGTTATATCTACAGACTAAGATTTGTTAGGGAAGAGAAACTAGTTTGAATGTTAATAATACTTGAAGTTAGATAATCTAAACGAGTTTCATGGTTCAATATTGATAATTGGTCTTCATTGAAATTTTCATTTAGACTCAGATGTTGATATTGATTTAGTTATAATTTCAATAATTTCAAGATGAATATCACTTAAGATAATCACCATTGTTGGACAGATTGAAGTTCCAGTGGATAGAAAATGGTTAGAAATATAAATAAAAATAACTTAAATACATACGGAGAAAAGCTGCGATCCCAGATCCTACTGCCAGGTACACAAATTTAAGGGAAACCTGAAATTTTAACACAATCAAACCATGACAATAGCAGAGTGTTTTTGGTTCAAGTTTCTTAGGAAATGTTTTTCATTGGTACTTTTTAAAGGAAAAAAAAATTGTCCAATGGTAACTGAATAATGCAACAAAAAAGGGGTTTGGTGTTATTAGTTCATGAATTTTTCTCACCTGGGACACTTTTTCAACTATGTTGGGGCTGTTCTGGTTACCACCAAAGGTGTCAATTATTTCACCAAACAGTAATGTCATAAGAGGAAACCCCAAACCATTTCCAATGCCACCAAAGCTTCCAACCACCATCAACACAATGTCTGCGCCGTCGGCAAAAGCAAACAGCTTGTGAAACGCCACCGTCTCCGCCTTCCCCTTTTGCTTGCTCTGTTCTTCACTTTCTTCAGGGCATCCTTTGTCATCCATGTCAGGATCAGTGATCCTGTGTAACACAAAACTAAAGTAACATTATATCCAAAACAACACCCATGGACCCAAGTAAACGCTTCTAACTGTGTAAAATTATCTACAAACTCATAATTCACATCTAATGTCTGTAAGAGGAAAGAGTATCATTATGAACAAACTTGTGTACCAAAATGCAAACTAGAGTGAAGCAGAGAGAGAGAAACTTGTTGATGAGATGGATTTTTCCAATTAGAAAATGAAGAGTGGAATAAAAAATAAATAAATAATGGGTTGCTGGAAATGGAAGAAAGACTTCAACTTTGAGTGTCTTGATCTAACAAGATGATTTTAGACTTAACTGAAATATTAACTTTTATATTCTACAAAATTAATAATTTATTATTTAATTTGATTTTAATTTTTTAATTAATTGTTCATAATTTTATTTAGATTTTAGTTTTGAAAGTTTATTGAACAACTATTAAATTATATTTATTGATAGATTATTACAGTTGCAATCTTTACATATAAAAAAAATTGTTGATAAAAAGACGCTGAATTTTTTGTCATAATTTTACGATCAATTTTTCTTTTAATTTATAATTATAAAAATTTATTTTACATAGTTATAATTTTTATAATAATAACAAATATTAAATTATATTTAAATATTTTATGAAAATAACATTGTATTAACTAATGTAAATATAATAAAAAAAATACTTAAACTTTGAACAACATTAGAAAATATACGATTAAAGTTAATTAAAAATTATTCAAAATAAATTTATGGATAACGAAAATATAAAATAATAAAAAATTACAATAAAGGAAAAAGTTTATATTGATATATACTTGATTTGTGTTTTTAAATTGTTGGGTTCCATGGAATAATTTTTGTTTATTGATATATACTTGATACTTGTTTTTAACTTGTTGGGTTCCACGGATTTATTTATTTATTTATTTCTTTGCGTGTTCTGTAAAAAAAGAATTTACTGTTTAGAAGCGTTCAATCATATATCCAAACACAGTCTTACTGTAAAGTCTGTTGATTTTCTTTTTTATACGTATGTGTGTTTGTGTGTATATATATATATATATATATATATATATATATATATATATATATATATATATATATATATATATATATAATAATTTTAAATATATTTATTAATAAATATTTTTATTAGATAAATTAGAAAATTTATTTTATTTATATGATAAAATATTTACTTATAATTAGATTAGTATTGATGATTTAAATTATAATATTTTCTAAGTTTAATTATATAAAATCTTTTCTAAGGTTAAAAAGTTTTTATTTATACAATCTTCCTATTCATTTTAATTAGAAGGGTAACTAAGGGGATCCAGAAGGCCATACCCTCCTTCCCAAATTCATCTTTTCATTTATATATATATATATATATATATATATATATATATATATATATATATATATATATATATATATATATATATTGATAAAAAAATTAAAATTAAATAAAATTTATTTTTTAAATATAAATAAAAATTAATTTTTTATTTTACTCTTTATATTATTTTTCTTATAAAATTTATAATAAATATCATTTTAATTCTTTCATATAAGTTTTTATTTATATTTTTTTCTATCTAGGTTTATCTTTTTTTTCTCTCCTAACTATTTTTCTTCACTTTAACTTATTTTTATCATATATTTTACTATTTTTTTACTTTGGTATTTCTAGCTTTTTTCTTTATTTTATTTTTTTCACAATTCTATTTTACAATATAAAAAGTTAAAAAAGATTCTTTAATTTTTTACATATTTTTTCCTTTACGATTTTATCCCTAGCATAAAGGTTGGTTTTTCTCTTTCACTTATTCTTAAACATGAAATACTAGAAACAAAAAACAAGAAATTAAAAAAATAAAGATGATATTTTTTTTGAAATGAGGAATTAAAGTAGGTAAATTTATTTATTTTTATTGTTTATTCTCTATTATAATATATTAACATGTGTAAATATGAAATACTAATGTGTAAATATATATGATATGCAATATTGATGTGAAAATGTGTAAAAAAATATATTTCAGATTGATATGTAAAGATGTTTAATGAAAAAAGAAGAGAAAAATAAAGATAATACATGATAAAATAAATTTAAATTTACTAAATTTAAATTTAATAAGTAATGATAAAAATATTATTAAATACCTAGATACAAATAAGCGTGTAATTATTAAAAATAATTAAAACGTGTTTGATTTTATATATTTATTAGTTTTAAATATATGTAAATGAGATTAGTGCATAAGTGTTGTATAGTGTGAGTAGAACTCTGGTATAAATTATATGGTTTCACTTGGAAAGACTTTACATAAATCTTATAGATGCAAAAGAAGAAGAAGAAAAATTATGTTGAAAATTTGCATCTGATCCAGTTCCACCATCGTTTTCACTTTTACAAGGATGGAGGGAAAATTCAAACCCACTTATCTTTGGATAAGATTTTCCAAGAGTGATGAATGTGGACTTTTTTTTCATAAATAATACTATTTTTTAAAATATTTTCTAAAATAGTACATCCGGAACATTATTTATACAATTAGCACTTTTTACTTGTTCACGTATTAAAATAATCGATTATTTTATATTATGATCGATTAATTCGCACAATCAACTCTCGCTCAAGCGAAGAAACCCTTCGCTTGAGCGAGGAAATTTGAAACAAAGGGGTAATCTCCGGTCAATTCTCGCTCAAGCGACGGGTATTTTCGCTTGAGCGAGAAGTGATTAAAATATGTGGTGATCCAAGTTGCGTTATGTGGCTAACTGCGTTAGACGTTTAGCCTGTGGTCAATTATCGCTCAAGCGATGAGTTACTTCGCTCGAGCGAGAATTGATTGGGTAACTGGGTTTGACCGTGGTCAATTCTCACTCAAGCGAGACATCCGTCGCTTAAGCGAAAACATTTATAATCGATTAAGCGAGGAGACCTGTAACATATATGTGTCACTTTTAATATCATATATGTGTCACTTTTAAGAGCGGTTAATATTTTAACCGCTCTTAAAAGTGAACATATAATAGCGGTTCCACGTTAACCGCTATCCAAAATATACTTTTAATAGCGGTTTGTTCTAGAACCGCTATCTAAAATCTCGGGTCAATTCTCGCTCAAGCGACGGGTACTTTCGCTTAAGCGAGAAGTGATTGAAATATGTGGTGACCTAAGTTGCATTATGTGGTTAACTGCGTTGGACGTTTAACTTGTGGTCAATTCTCGCTCAAGCTTCCAGATACACATTCGTGGGGTTCTTTCTCCAATTTCTTGTGGATCAACTTCTTCATCCTTTGTAGAGAAATTCCTCTCTTTAAAGGAACAAGTTTTGCAGTCCCAGTATTGAAGGTAACTCCCTCCATGGGACATGGGTTCATGAAACCATCATAGTGGACAATAGTAGACACTACACCCATTTTAGGAGGAGTGGTGATATTTTGACAACCAAAAACCATACAACCCTTATAAACAACTCACTTTTATTAATATAATAATCTATAGATTGATTTAATAAAAATAAAAATAAAGTAAAACTATTATTATAATATTAAAACAGAGTTGTTTACAGGAGTTGTATGGATTTGGGTTGTCAAAGTATCATTTTCCTTTTAGGAGTGTGGAACACAAAGAAGACTAAAGGTAAGAAGAATAAATAATGCAAATAGCTTCAGAGATTTAGGAGTGTGCAATGTGAGAACTTCAAAGAATGAAAGTGGTCTATTTATAATGAAGTCCATTGGTTTGAATTTAATGCTCCCTCACATAGTTTCTGACGCACACAAAACCCAAGCAAAGTGGGTGGGTCAACATCTCTTTAAATATGTTTGGATTCTTCTGCTTTTGTCTAACCCAATGCAAGAAATCAAAAATTGGAATCCTAACTTAGGTGGGTAACTCAGCATTGGATTCTTTACTTGTGTGCATTAGAAAGACATGAGAATCCTGACTTGGGTGGGTGACTCAACATTCTAAGTAGTTGCAGGTTTCCTCGCTCAAGCGATGAGTTTCTCTCTTGAGCGAGAATTGACCACAGGCTAAACGTCCAACGCAGTTAGCCACATAATACAACTTGGGTCACCACATATTTCAATCACTTCTCGCTCAAGCGAAAGTACCCGTCGCTTGAACGAGAATTGACCCGAGATTTTAGATAGCGGTTAACGTGGAACCGCTATTATATGTTCATTTTTAACCATATATGATAGCGGTTCCACTTTAACCGCTCTTAAAAGTGAACATATAATAGTGGTTCCACGTTAACTGCTATCTAAAAGTATATTTTAGATAGCGGTTAACGTGGAACCGCTATTACATGTGTTTTCTGTTGTAGTGGGTTTCTTCGCTTGAGCGAAAGAGAAATAATCGATCATAATTTTGTATATTCGATTATTTTAAAATTATGATCGATTAGTTCAAATTATAATCGATTATAAATGTTTTCGTTCAAGCGATGGATGTCTCGCTTGGGCGAGAATTGACCCCGGTCCAACGCAGTTACCCAATCAATTTTCGCTCGAGCGAAGTAAGTCATCGCTTGAGCGAGAATTGACCACAGGCTAAACGTCCAATGCAGTTAGCCACATAACGCAACTTGGGTCACCACATATTTTAATCACTTCTCGCTTAAGCGAAAATTGAAAGAATTAATGGTTGAGTTCAAGAGGGGGGGTGAATTGAACTTTAAAACTTTTTCGCAAAACTTACTTTCTTTTGGAAGAATGAGTTATCTTTATTTAATCTTTGCAAAAGTAATTTGGTTTAAACACAACACAATTAAAGACAGAAATTAAAAGAGATGAAAGAAGGATATTAACACACAAATTTATACTGGTTCACTCTAATCCAGAGCTACATCCAGTTCTTGACAATCCAGTCAAGTTCCACTAATACCAAGTGAAAATTACAACCAGTAGATACTCACCAATCTACCCCAAGAACTATCTTGCAAAACCCACAAGACGA